AAATATGGTGATGTCATGGTTAGGTTATCGATGCTGGTGTGTCAACCTGCGGCCGTGTTGGCTGGTGACCTCCTCATCAGGAAAACATCTTTTCTCATCAGTAACGACGAGATCCTTTCTTGTAATGAAAAGATCTTTCTTCGTGATTTAGGTGATTGGGTCAACCTGTCGACCGCCAACACACACGTTCGGTTTTTGGAAAAAGGAGTGCAGCATTTTTGTTATAACCATTTCATTTTTTTATTTATTTTATCCATTTATTTCACAATATCATTGAAAATCCATGGAGATGTAAATAAGCGCAACAAGCGCACCACTGTCACTGCCTTCAAGACCACAAGCAAGATGGACGGAAGGAGAGAGAGACAACAAAGAAGAGTCAAACATAAAAACGTTCCACTATTATATTTTGGGCATTGGAGCCCATGCAGGCACTTTACAGCAGGGTGACGGTTGGTGTGGGGGGGCATGGGGGACTGGGGGGGGGGGGTGCCTAAGGTGGATTTTGTATCTGAAACCACTGTTCACTTCTCTCAGTTGGAATCTAACCCCTGATCCTCCAAACGCCACGTCCATTCTGAACTTCCAGAGATTAAAAGATTATTTATCGCTAGAGGAAACTTTCTTTTTCTGTCTTCTAAACATGACGTAAACAAAGCTTCGGGGGTTTTGTTGATAAGATGAATACATTGTAATTCTCGCTTGTATATTACTTATTTTATTCGTATATATAAGTCAAATTCCTCTATGTGTAACATATATGTGGCAATAAATGGCTTCTGATCTGATTCTAATGGATCAGGGAATATCATGTGATCAATAAATGCTTCTGATATCATCAGTTTGTTCTTTAGTTTGCAGAGAGACCGACGTAAAAGTAGCCTTTCTCTCTGTAGGGAGCCAGATGTTCAAAATGGCCGCCAAAGGATCCCTCCCACCTCTGATCCATGTGGTGACATCACCACCACTGATGACATCACCACTGTAGTTTACTCATGTGACTTTGCTCATGCAAACATACATAGACACATTCCATCAGGGTGGTTGAGCGACACAACACAGATTCACTAAAGTCATCGACATCTGATCGGTGGGAAGCGAGTGTCTCTGAGAGAGGGGGACAAAGACCATCGTCTTTCTCTTAGAGGTGGACGATCGTCCATCTCTGAAATGTGGACAGAGACCATCATCTTTGCGGCCGGATGAGCACACTGCACAGATACAGAATACAGAAGATACGTTAAGACCACCGGTTAGTTTACAGCTAACAGAGAAACACTGACTCCGCCTCCCATCAGGCGCTGAAACGAACACAACCAATGAAAGCATCTCAGAGGTCAGACAAGGTTCAACCCATGCTCACCCCGTCGCGACCGGAACCAGGAGGGGCGGGGCCTAAAACCACGAGCCAGTCCCGTTAAAGTGGATGCATTCGTGCAGCCACCGCTGAGGTGACCATGTGACTAAAAAAACACACCGCTACCACTGCACAAGCGCCTCGCCCCCCCTTTTGGACCTCACTGCCTGGGGCTGGAGGGGTCGGACCTGCGGGCGGCGTGGCACGGGTCCAGGGACTCCTTGGTGGCGCCGCCGAAGACGTCCACGTGGCGGTCGGTCCAGGGCGAGATGTTGCCCAGAGCCGAGGAGCTGCAGTCGGCCAGCGCGGCCACCTCGGCCGGCTTCAGCACCCGGTCCCACAGGTTGAACTGGGACAGCTCCCCCACCAGCGCCTGGGAGGCGTCAAAGTGCCCGCCCAGCGCGTCCTATGGGGGACAAGTCAAGAGGAGCTGTTAAGGACCCTCCCGCACACAGACGTCTCTAACAGCTCTCTGAATGGGAGTCATTGGGGATCTAATTCTTCCACTGGGAACGAATAGATCATGTCTCTAATCCTGAAGGCACGCCGCTCCTCATGCATGGGAACCTCAATAAGATCAGGTCACATGAGAAGAAAAAAGCAGGTTAGAGCTGTTGTGTTTTATGATTTTTGTTCATGATCGTCTGAATGTGAGCGTTTAAAATCCCCACAGCAACACATACACGGAATAAACATCCATTAAATATTGTTATTGTACCATTGCTTTATATCGTTGCCACGGCAACAACGGCCTGCAGGGCGAGCTCCAGGGACGAGAGTTCATATCAGACTCCATGTCACGGTTATGTAATCTAACGAGAGACAAGAACTACTGATGCTCCCTCAAATGCCTGTGCTCCTCCACCCATCCGTTTATTCATCCATCCGTTTATTCATCCATCCGTTTATTCATCCATCCGTTTGTTCATCCATCCGTTTATTCATCCATCCGTTTATTCATCCATCCGTTTATTCATCCATCCATTTTTAAACCCATGCGTTTATTCATCCATCCGTTTATTCATCCATTTATTCATCGATCTGTTTTTACACCCATCCATTTCTTCATCCATCCGTTTATTCATCCATCCGTTTTTACACCCATCCGTTTATTCATCCATCCGTTTTTACACCCATGCTTTTATTCATCCATCCGTTTATTCATCCATCCGTTTATCCATCCATTTATTCATCGTTCTGTTTTTACACCCATCCATTTATTCATCCATCCATTTCTTTATCCATCCGTTTATTCATCCATTCATTTATTCATCCATCCTTTTTTACACCGATCCGTTTATTCATCCATCCGTTTTTACACCCATCCGTTTATTCATCCATCCGTTTAGTCATCCATCCGTTTATTCATCCATCCATTTATTCATCCATCCGTTTTTACACCCATCCGTTTATTCATCCATCCGTTTGTTCATCCATCCTTTTATTCATCCATCCATTTATTCATCTATCCATTTATTCATCCATCCATTTATTCATCCATCCGTTTATTCATCCATCCGTTTGTTCATCCATCCTTTTATTCATCCATCCATTTATTCATCTATCCATTTATTCATCCATCCGTTTATTCATCCATCCGTTTATTCATCCATCTGTTGGTTGATCTCTCACCTGTTCCTGTCCCAGTATAAGGACGCCTCCTGGTTTAATTGGATGCCAGGCGGCAAGCCCCTCCCCCCTGCCCTTCATCTTGCCCCCCTGATAGGCCTTCCACACCCCGTCCCTCAGGGTCCAGCTCACACAGATGTGCTGCCACTGGTCCTCAGGTAGAGAGAGAGGCAGCTGCGCCACCTACAGGTGAGAAACACACAAGCACACCTGGACTTACCAGGAGACACAACGTGGACCTGCGGCTACCTGAGCTAGCAGCGCTATCAGAGATTAGCATTTGCTCTCTCCTCAAAACTCCCAGAATCACTTCTTCTGCTACTGGTCCCCTCTCTACCAGAAGAAGACCTTCACTCCACACACCGGTACCTTGTCATTGATGAGCAGCTCTGCCGGGCTGTGGACCCCCTGAAGCAGCACCAGCTCGTTGGGCTGTCCCGGGACGGAGTAGGAGAAGGGCGTCCCGATGCCCCCCTCCTTGGCCCTCAGCCACATGCAGGCGGTGAAGGCGTACATCTCCGTGATCTCCTTCCTCACCAGGCCGTACATGTAGTTGGTCCTCATTGGGAAGGAGAGGACGAAGCCTTCGGGAAACGAGGGCTCCATCACCGCTGAGGAGAGAGGAGACGGGGACGTCGTCATGGTGACGCCAACCAGTGGTCTCAGCTCAGCAGCCTAGCAGAGGTTTGTCTCCTTCAATGGCCAATTTATACCAAGTCACTTTGGAATTGCCCAACTACGCTTCCTCCTTCAATGGAGTCCTCCCCCCATTGACCATACCTCCTCTTCCTCCTCCCACATCCACCATCTCCTCCACCTGCCCCACTCACTGTGCTCCATCTCGGAGACGCGGTGGTCCGCGGCGTTGATGCCCTGGTGGATCTTCTCGTGTTCTCCGTGCGTCTCCTTCCTCATGGTTTGCCGCTCCTTCTCCAGCAGCTTGATCTTCCTCTCCAGCTCCCCCTCCAGGTCCTCCACCCTCCAGGGGCCCTTGGGCCGCCCGGCGGAGCCCTTGTACTGGGTTTTGGGGGCAAGGGAGGCGGGGGAGGCTGGACGACGCCCCCCCCCAGGGTGGGGGGCCGGAGCAGGGTGGGAGGAGGAGGAGCCACCGGGGGTGGGCGGAGCCGGACCTCTGCCGGGCGCACTGGACGGATCCGTTAGGTTCAAGGCTGCCGGACCAATCTCCGCCTGCGAGAAGGAGAGGGGAGGAGTTACACATGTTCCTCAGAGGATGAACCCTCCAGCGGGGCATCATTAGGAAGGACTTCACTACATATTTCCATTATTGAACGTAATCTCGGAAAGGAAGGAAAGGATTATTTTGATTATTGTTTGTTTATTCAAATGTCAGAAAAGGTTCTCAGCTTCGATACGTTTATTGATCAGAAAGCGTCAACGTCAACTATTGCTGAGGACAATGATGATCAGTGAAGCTACAGCAAAGTGATGCATCTCACGTGTGTGTGTGTGTGTGTGTGTGTGTGTGTGTGTGTGTCTGCCTCCTGCAGCCTCCTCTTTTATTGATGTCTCTATTCTGAAGAAGGCTGACACGGCGGGGGGGGAAGGGGGGGGGGGGCGTTCAGGTGGAGAGATTTCATTCCCACCTGAGAGCGTGCGCGTGACACCGATATTTGTTAATAACACAAATGTCAAAACATGATCCGATGTTTCTGGACTGTGTGGATTCTGGGAGCGTCGAAGTACGTGTTTTACCTCGAGCTTCTCGATGCGGTCCTTCAGGTCCATGATGGCGCGCGCCAGCTCCTCCACGGCGCGCGCCGTGGAGGAGCTGACGTCATCCCCGGCCATGACGCGGCGGGTGCCGCTCCAGACCCCGACGCTGCGCTCCGGGACGGCCCGCTCGTCCTCCAGGCCGCTCTCGCACTCGCTCAGCTTCCCGCTGAGCTCCCGGATGGTCCTCTGGTCCATGAGGATCTGGTCGTTCTGCTGCAGGACCATCTGCCGGAGGTGCTCGGCCGTGGTCCGGAGGCGGGTCCGGTCCTCCGGGTCGTCCGCCTGCCGCCGTCTCAGGTCTTTGGTCCCGCAGTGACCCGCCGGCACCGGCGTGCAGATCAACCGGCTGAAGCTGATCTCCTTGGCGGACCCGCCGCCGACCTCCTCCCCGAGGTGGAGCTCGTTGAGGGGGGGGACCTCCAGGCCGAGGCCGCCAAGCGCGTTGTCGTAGGACTCCGAGCCGTGCAGCGCGCCCAGCGGACCGGCGCGCGCCACCGACCCGGGCTCGAACGGCGGCTCCGACGTCAGCGTGCCGTTGTCCCCGAGGGGCGCGGCGGTCCTTGGGGGGTAAACGCTGGCCACGATGCAGATGACCGCGCCGAGGAAGGCCAGGCTGCCGGCGCCCACGAGCACCACCGCGAACTTCATGGTCGCCGCGCACGGGAACAGAATCCGGACCGGAGAAGGCTCGCTGAGTCCGGGAGGTGCTGCTCCGTGTCCTCCGCGCTGCTAAGCTGCTCTCTCCTCCGCGCGTTACCATGGGGACCGCGGGGAGGGGGAGGAGCCGCGCTGTGGGCATGCGCCAAACAACAAGGAGAGGACGCGCACAAGAGGAAGACACACACACACACACACACACACACGTGTAGATGCACAGTGAACATGTAAGCAGAGGCTGGAGGAGAAGGAGGAAGAGGAGGAGGACAGGAAGAAGAAGGAAGAGGACAGGAGAGGGAGAAGGAGGAGCAAGTCGGGTAGAAGGAGAATATAAAGCATCTGGAGTAGAAGGAGCAGGAAGAGTCGAAGGACGAGGTTCCTCCAGATCTTTTATTCAGATGAACCAGGTTCCACAGAGAAAAAAAAAGGATCTCCAACTGCTAACTATTAACAATTCCTAATTCCTTTCAAATCACCCAAAGGAAGAGATAAAGGTTCCATCAGAGGAGGACATGATATTTCTCTTGTGCTGAAGTTCTCCTCCAGGCGATGGGAGGAAACATCTGGACCGGCCTGTCGTCACAGAGCTAGAAATGGGCTCTGGTCTTCTCCTTCCACTTCTTCAAGTCGCTAAAAACATGCCGTTCTACTCATGTTTAGAGATGAAGAAGAAGAACATCTGGGCAGTCCTAACATCTGCCTCCTGCCATGTGAATAACGCTTCTCTGAAACGAGGTCAGAAGAGCAGATCTACAGTCAGATGTAATACTCACCAATATTTCAAGTATCATTCATTCCCAACAAGTCGCCAAAGGCGAAGATCATGTTTACATAATAAATTGAATCCATAATGATCGAAGATATTCGTTTTATTTTATAATAATAATCTGAATCAAGTTGAAATGTCTAAAGCAGCATAAAGTGAAGATGCGTAACTAAAAGAACATGAGAGGAAGCCTTTTATTCATCATGCAGATGACCTTCACATGACCTCTCAGCGCCTCGTTGGCTCAGCCCCGCCCCCCAGTGGCGAAGCGCTGCACGAGCAGGATGACGTCACCGCTCAGTAGGACCTGACGCTTTATACTCATAACGATTGGTTTTCATATTAACATGAACAATAGAAACAGAACAGCGTCTTCTCTTCACAGAGCTTTTAATCAAAAGCCAGAAACACTGAAAGCAACAACATTGGATCCACAAAGTGAACAATGAGGGTTATGACGTCCTCACGTGCTCATAGCAATGTACATTATTCATCTCACTCATTAAAACCCACTGGACTACTCATAGAAACAAGGCGTTCAACATAAACAGCGTCACATTCATATTATGCATATGTTTAAAAACAGGTATTAAAGTACAGTACAAAGGAGAAACACAAACATTTTCAATCCACGAAGCGTCTTTATGCTCATTTTAAACCTTCCTTTGATGACGTCACACATGAAAGCAGAAGAAGTCAAAGACCTGTAGAAGATTACAAAAGTCTGAATGTGAATAAATCAACAGCCGGTTTATGATGGAGGCCACAAACGGAGCTGAAGATAAACATGTGTGTATAGATATTGTGTGTGTGTTGTGCGTGTGTCCTTCATGTAATACATAAATCCCCCGCGTTGCCCCTGACCTCACTCAGCGATGAACTCCGTGAAGCATCATTTCATCAGTTTATTAATAAAGCGAGGCACAAGTGTTGACGCGTCTAATGAGGAGCGAGCGAGGGCAGAGAGCCGTCGCCATGACGACCCGAATGTCGCTGACGACAGACTACGAATGAGTGAAGGCTGCGACCGAAGCGTCGCATCTCTGACGTGGTTCTTTGATCGTTGATCGTTGGCGATCCACACGGAGAGACGCAGACCCGAGGTCACGGGGCTGGGCCGGGTCCGACCCGAGGTCACGGAGCTGGGCCGGGTCAGACCCGAGGTCACCCCACACTGTTGGGATATATTCTTATTGCAGCCTGTAAGGTTTTGCCCGCACATAAATACTCATTTACACGCGTGTAACAAACGTCATATATAAGCGCGTATGAACGTAAACATGTTCTATACTTGATGAACTACGAACTATGAAAAAGCTCAAATTGACCTCGCTGTAATAATGTGAGTCCAGCTGTGCAAACGGGGAGGGGGGAGACGGGGGGAGGGGAGAGGGGGGCGGATTTGTGTCTCTCACGTGCACGGAGTTTGATTACGAAGCTCAAACACGTTTTTACACCAACAAGCCAAGCGTCTGACAAGAAATAGGCTCCTCCCCCCCGCAGAGTCGGCGCCGTGCAGGACAAAATATGGCGATTTAAGGGCGTGTCAGCCGCCCGCTTCCAAATGTTTGAAAAAAATAAGCTCTTCTTCTATGCAACGGTTACGTTTCATTGGTCACCACACAAACATGGACGCGTCTCCGAGGGGCGTGGTCTCCTATGGCTTCGGTTGAGGAGGGGGAGGGTCAGAGGAGGAGGGGGCGTTTTCGGGTCCGGCAGAAGGGGAGGCGGGGGAGGGGAACTCTTTTATGGTAACGGTGAGGAGGTTGGAGGTGACGTCGGTGACCACCACGTCCTTTGAGCTCGGCGCCATTTCTGGGTGCCAGTTGGGGTCTCCCTCGGCGGGCGGTCTTTGGGAATCAGTGAGGGCGGAGCTCTGGTCCCCGGGGGCGACAGGCTGATGGCGTCTTGCACCGCGTTCACGAGCGCTTTTCCTGCCTCCCTCTCGGGTCATGCTACTGTCCGGCGCAGCATCTCCCTCCTCCTCCTCCTCCTTCTCCCCGAGGGAGGATGAAGACGAGGACGGGAGGAGAGGCGGGTCGGAGGACCAGGAAGCATCCGCCGGCGTGGCGTTCGGGCCCTTCTGGCTGGACTCGATAGCCTCTGTGGGAGGCGAGGCTGCGGCGCCGCTGGTGGGGGGTCTCCTTTCAGGGTGGGCGGAGGCGGAGCCGGCGTTCCTCTCCTCGGTGCTGGAGCCCGGGTGGGGCTGAAGGGACGCGGGGCCCCCGCACTGCAGCCCAAACGGCTTCCCGTACATGGGGAAGCCCAGCATCTTCAGGGGCGGCTGGAAAGGGCGGTAGGGGGCGTCTCCCTTCTTCCCGATGATGCGGTTGCGGGACGGGATGTTTTGGCGCCCCGCCGTGACACTCCGGCCGGCCGCGCCCCCCCGGCCGGCCTTGTCGATGACCTTCAGGTTGAGGATGATGCGACCTCTCTTGACCTCCCGGGGTTTGACCCTGCGGTTGAGGATGCGGACAGTCTCAGAGAAGGGGGAGGCGTGCAGGCGGGACGGGAGGCCGCCCGGGGTGGAGAAGGAGGGCGCCATGGGGTCCGAGCGGGGGAGGGGGCGCCGGGACATCCGGTGGCAGCGGTGAATGTCTTTCTTCAGCTTGTGAGTGGCCGCCAGGGAGTTGAGTTTAGGAGACGGGGCCACGGTCGAGGAAGAGGCGGACGAAGAGGCTGCGTGGGGCGGGGCGAGGGAGGAGGGAGGCGCTCTGCCGGGGGCGGAGCGTGACGTAGTGTGGGGCGCGTCTGAGGCCCCGCCCCTGGACGCTCCCTTCTGAGTCCGGGTCTGGAATAAGGGGAGAGTTGAATGAATATCCAGCGGCGTTTAATGACACACACATCGGCGCTACATCGCAACTGTGGCTGCTGAGACCTGATTGGTGGAGGAAGATTAGCTCCGTTAGCATGGAACGCTAACAATGACCTTAACCTTCTAAAACTATACAACGCCTCCTGAGGTTGAGAAGCTCATCAACAGACAAATCAAAACAGAGGTCACAGCTGTACCTTCCCTGTGGGGGTTTTGGGCTTTGGTCCCCGTTTCTTCGGCCCGTGCATTTCCTGTTCCCGCTCCCTGTGGAAAACATGTGAATGACGAGTTAAGAAAGTCGCTTTGAAGCTCGAACATTTTCTCCTTTAGGAAATAAAAGCTTAAAACAACGTCAGGAATCTAAAACCAAGAGGAGCGAGGTTCTGATCTGGTCGGAATGAAAAGCGCCACCTGTGTTCTGGACCTCATCCCATCCACATCTGTTAGAGACCAGCGATCTCCTCACTCATCATACGCATCATCAACGCCTCCCTCAGCTCCGGGTCAGTTCCCAGAATACTCTGGCTGCCACCACCTCCATCCTCAAGAAACCTGGACTCAACCCTGATGTCCAATTTCCGGCTCTTCTCCCTCTTCTGTCAACAACGCTGGAACGTGCTGTCGCCTCGCAGCTGAAAACCCACCTCACCTCCAATAACCTGTATGAACCATTTCAATCTGCCTTCCGCCCACAACACAGCACTGAAACATGCCTCCTGAAAGTTACCAATGATCTCCTCCTCTCTTCAGACTCCACCTCAACATCCTCATCCTTCTGGACCTCACTGCAGCCTTCAACACCGTTAACCACCCCATCCTCCCCTCCCGCCTTGAATCCACCATTAATGTCACCGGCACTCCCCTCTCCTGGCTCAGACCTTACCTCACTGACCGGCAACACTTCATCCACATCAACACCTGCACCTCCTCCCCTGCCCCTTCGTCCCAAGGTGTCCCCCAGGGGTCGGTGCTCGGCCCCCTCCTGTTCATCCTTTACCCGCTTCCCCTCGGCAACTTCATACGCCGTCATAGACTCCGTCTCCACTGCTACGCCGACGACATCCAACTTTACATTTCCACTTCCTCCATCACCCCTGCTACAATCTCCACCCTCACCTGTCAACTGTCTCGGTGAAATTAAATCCTGGATGCAAATAAACTTTCTCAAAGACAACAAACGTCATCATCATCAGTCCCAAATCCCTCACCAAAACCACCCATAACCTCAGCATCTACATTGAATAACATCACCAGGACTGAACTCTCAAAAACACAGCGTCCTCCGTCTGTCCGTTCCTCTGATGCCAACCTCCTGTCCACCCCCCTGAGGACCAGGCACCGAAGCTGGAGCTTTCTCCATCGCCGCTCCCTCCCTCTGGAAGTCAGCAGACTGTCTAAGTCCAAGTCAGTAGTCAAAACGCACCTTTTCAGATCGGCTTCTAATGTGTAATTAATGCCGTGTTTTTATATAATGTCTTTGTTTTATGTTTATTTTAACCGTGTAAAGCGTCTTTGAGTATTATTATTATTAACGTGGAGGAGGAGCCAAAGACATGAAGCATAGTTATAATGTTCTATTACGTCTTTGTAACATGTCAGCAAATGAGAAGGAATAACTCACTTTCGCTCAAAGCCCAGAATCAGCCTGTCGTCCAGGATGTTCTCCTCCGGCTCCCAGGTGCTGTGCCTGAATAATCAACAACAACAATGACGAAGAGGAGCACAGCATGAGAGAATGTTCTTTTACACTTCAGTTCAGATAATAAAATGTACAAACAGCTCCCTTGAATGAAGGACCTACTTCATGGCCCATCCTTTCCACTTCACCAGGTACTCAAGTCTCCCCTGCAGCAAAGACAACAACACACGGAGGATGAAGGCAAACAGCTGGTACGGGACGCTCACATCCCATAATAGCATCGTGTTTGAAACATCTGCGACAGATGCTAACTGGGATCTGAACTATGATGCAGATGGCTGTCTCGCATGAAGAAACGAACAGTCCATCATCTACTTCTTCCTCCTCCTCCTCAGTGGTGGATGAGTGCAATGGCTGCCATGCTAGAGGTCTATGTTCTTCCCCATCATCAGGAAAACAGCCTGTTGATGTTGGTAGCCTGTATTCCGCGGAGGGGTCAGTGCATCGCCCTGAATATACGGCCATGGCTAGTTAGCTTCTAGCTAGCTCCGGCTAGTTGGACTCTAGCTAGCCGTGCAAGTTAGCTTCAAGCTAGCTCCGGCTAGCCGAGTGAAGGCGACCGTTAGCCGCAAGGCCCTGCCAGCACACGGACCGGAGCCGAGCCGGGCCGAGCCAAGCCGTGCTGACCGCGGGCCAACGTCTGCGAAGAAAGGGGGCAGGCGGACGGACCTCGCGTGGGAGCTCACCTTGCGGACCCGGCGCTTCAGAATGGCTTCAGCCGCGAAAACACGGTCCCCCGTCGAGGAGACCTCCATCTTTCCTCTCATGACTGGAGACAGACACGCGCACACGCACGCACGCGCACGCAGATACATACATATATATATATATATATATATATATATATATATATATGTACAATATGCACATATACGTTATATAGATATATAAATACACATCTAAATGTATGCATAATATATACTTAACTTTATATAAAGTTTATATATATTGATCAATAAATCAACTTAATGATAAGCATTAATGATGAGCACACTAATAGTAAAAGTTGTATTATTGTGTTGTTGTTCCTGTTACAGCAGTAGTCTATAATCTTTTGATTATAAATCATCAATGCTGAATGACTGAATAGATCTCTGTGGAAATAAGTATGTGTATTTTCAGCATCTGTTTAACAGCTCAAATGTGTTTGTAGTTTATCTTAGTGTACCTTTTGGATGCATATCATGAACGCATTGCTTTTAATCTTTTAACATTTGTCTTTTCTTTGCTGCCGCTTTTCCTTTGGTATATTTGTTGGAGACACACCAAATAGGTATATTTGTACATTTTTTGTATTATTCATCCTCTTGTGGGATTTTAAGAAAGTTTTTCATTAAAATGAATCTAAAGACATCTGTGTGGTCAAAAGTCCTCTTTCCAGAGTGAAAAATATTATATCCATAACAAAGATTATACGAATAATACTGATACTGAAACAATAATCATTCTAATCATACGAGATACCATACTTGTAATAATGCAATTGTGGTATTTTTATTTAGTAATTGGATTAAGATTATGATATCTTTTCTAAACCTAACTAATTAGATTTATTTACTAATCCTCTTTGATGCATTACGCCCCGCCCCCTTTACCAAGCAGCGTCCCGCTCCTGGAGCTCCGATTAATGCGACGCACGTCAATCACGCTTGGCCATCAAGTTTGGTTGCACTGCGGCGCGGTTGTTGATGTCGCTGTCAGGAGTCACCGCCGCCACGCAGAGCTCTTAAGCAGCAGGTAAGAACGACTCACGTCGGCAAGCTAACACGGTTAGCTTCCGTTAGCCGTTGGATAACTGCAGCACCGGGGCTCTGGATGTTAACGTTTGAAGAGACGGGGTCCAGGGACCCCTTATAACGGGGACCAGCCCCCCTTAGCACCGTCACTATCTCGGTAGAACCGGAAGTGGACTGCTCTTACATTAGTGTTAAGCGGAAGTACAGGATACAGGTAATACCTGCTGCTCCTGTTTTATCTAATTCATTTAAAAATAGAAAGTAAGTGAATTAACCGTAAAATAAGTATGCTATCACAGCACCAGGTGTGCATTTGATGGAAGGAGGTCCTCCTCCTGAGGATGGAGGTCCTGATGGAATGAGGTGCTCAGGGAGAGGTCCTCCTGAGGATGGAGGTCCTGATGGAATGAGGTGCTCAGGGAGAGGTCCTCCTGAGGATGGAGGTCCTGATGGAATGAGGTGCTCAGGGAGAGGTCCTCCTGAGGATGGAGGTCCTGATGGAATGAGGTGCTCAGGGAGAGGTCCTCCTGAGGATGGAGGTCCTGATGGAATGAGGTGCTCAGGGAGAGGTCCTCCTGAGGTCCAAACTGGCAGCGCTTCGAATAGACTGTGTGTTTCAGGGGGGAAGAAGCATTCACATATCTATTTGAGTATTAGCAGTACTGCAGTGAGAAAGCACTCCGTTACAAGTCAAAGTTCTTTTTCATTTTTCTTTTTCAGAAAAGTACACTTTGGGAAAAATAGAATAGAAGATTTGTTTAATTAAATTGTGTGCAGTTTTCGTGTGTTCATCATGTGTGGCAGCTGGTAGAGCTACTGGTTTTTCTTTAAGGGTTATTAATTATTATCAGTCCATGTTATAATAATATGTTTTAATCAGTCAGTTGAGTAAAAGGAAAATATACAGCTCTGAAAGTCGAAACAAAGTACTCACACAAAGTAGAAGTACCTTCCGCTCTTTATTTCTCAGGTGACCATGCAGTTCCTGGGCCGCCTGTTGGACACCGTGTCCTCGGTGTCGACCCTCTTCACCAACCCGTACCGCGTGAGAGACGTGTCGCTGTCCGACTACGGCGGGGCGAGCAAGGTGCTGCTGAAGCAGGACGGACGCTTGCTCCTGTACAGAAACACCCAGTGCCAGTCCTGGGACTGTCTGCTCATGTGCCCCGAAACGCCCAACGTGACCCTGAGGTCAGTGCTGAGGTCATCACAAGTGGTCATCATGTGATGTCACCCGTTGGTCCGTCCGTCCAAAATGGCGTTACCATGACGACGTTTACTGAGCCTCTTCTGCTCCGCGTACTAGGCTCTTCCAGGTGGCGTCGGAAGTGGACGCCATGAACTGGTTCCCCCAGTACGCCCTGAAGCTCCGCCCCTTCTACGAGACACTGTCCCTGAAGGCGGAAACCGTGCAGCCAATTGCCGACTGCATCCGCAGCCACCAGGACTGGAGCTCCGCCCACATCGCCGTGGAGACGGGCCTGAGAGAGTGCCTCAAGCATAACTACGTCCAGAGGTGAGAACAATGATCATAACGGGTAGATGGTGTCGTTAATCAGTTCATCTGGAGGAAGAATTCATACATAATGTAGTCAGTACGTAGAAGATAAAGCTAGAAGCAAACACACGGTCATTAGCGTTACATGGGATTAGCATGTCGCTAAACAGCCAACTGAGATAAAACAGATAAAACAGCTCCCCTCGTTTCCTTGTTTGATTCGCTTCCACACGACAAGCTAACTTCCTGATTACAGAGACTCTGAAGAACAAATCGGTCTCTCCGTCCCGCAGTCAGATAAACGCTCGGGACGCCGCCGGTCAGACGCCGCTGCACCTGGCGTGCGAGCGCGGCGACGCGGCCTGCGTGAGGCAGCTGCTGGAGGAAAGCCAGGCTCGCACTGACATCAGGGACCAGCGCGGGGAGACGCCGATGCACTGTGCCGCCAAGCAGGACGCGCCCGCCGTCATCCAGGTGAGACCAGCGGTGACCATATATGACAAGGAGGACGGGGTACACGCGTCTGGTAGACCTGTCAATCAGCGTGTAGTCCCGCCCTAAAGCATCCCCTCCATTAAGGTCTGTTGACTCTAAATGGAACTTATGCTGTGCAGCAGAATTAGCATAAAGCTAAAGGATGTCCGTGGTTGTGCGCCGTGGTTTAGCGTCCTTCAGCCTCTAACGCCCCTCTTCTCTAAGGTCATGTGCTCGCGGCTGTGCTCGGGGGTGAACGAGCTGAACAACAATGGGGAGACGCCGCTCCACGTCGCGTGCCGCCTGGGGCGCGTGGAGTCCGTAAAAGCCCTGCTTGGGGGCGGGGCCAAGTGCGGCGTCATCGGCGGCACCGGCTACGCCATCCACAGCGCCATGAAGTACAGCGAGAAGAGGTGAGGGGGGGGGCGGCTGCAGAGATGCCGGGGGGATATTTAGGATGCAATGTAACGGATCTCTTTCTGTCAGCTGTGCGGAGGAGATCCTCATAGCCGACCCGGGGCAGATTCACGCCGTGGACTCTTTGTACGGGAGAACGCCGCTGCACTGGTCCAAGACGTCCGAGGTGACACGTCACCACAAACGCGTTCATTCTGTGCTCCAACGAGGGGCTCTGCTTTAATCACACACCTCCCATCAGAAGGTATTCATCAGTCTCTCCCCCCCCCCCTCCCCCTCCCCTCTCCAGATGTGCCGCCTGCTGCTGCTACACGGCTGTGCGGTGAACTACCTCAGTAAGACGGGGGAGAGCGCCCTGCACATCCTGACCAGGAAGGGGCGCTTTGAGGCGGCGATGGTGCTGCTGACCCACGGGGCCAACGCCAACCTCAAGGGCCAGGACGGTAACACGGCCCTGCACCTCGCCATGAAGGTGACCTTCACGCGCGAGATGCTAATATGACGACGACGGAGATCCGATGATCCGTCTGAAGTTTTTCAAATTGAGAAGCGATGCAGAAAGGTTCCATCTCGCCAAACCTCTTCATTTAGTCAATAGACGTAGCGCATGATGAGCATGGAGCATTAAAACATTGGGTCTTTTAATGTTAATGTTTCTCTTCATCTGTTCCTCAATACATTGACTATGTAGATCAGATTTATTAACAGATTACCACAATTTCCTTCCCACGAGCAGCCTGAAGGAACTTAATTCCTCAGCCACCCACCACTTCAAAACCCAAATGGATCCCAGAAAGCTCTGACATCTGTTCCTCAGATGGACCACATGGAGCTGATCAAGGCTCTGATTGTGTTCGGGGCCGACGTCGAGATCCACAACGACCTGGGAGAGACGCCTGGACTCATCGCTGCTCGCACCAGCAAAGGTGAGCGAGAGGAGGCGGAGCTTCGGGCCGGGAGGAGGCGACTTGAGGCGACTGGGATGAGGTCACCAGTTTGAGCTTCATCACGGGGTCTCGACCCACCAAACCTGCGCCGGCTTCTGGTGATAATACGCGAGGGCTTAGTCGGTTGCTAGGATACTCAAAACAAGTGCAGGTTAAAACGACTGATTGAAAATAACTTTATTGTCCCATGTGGGGAAATTGATTTATCCGGTTCTCCAGCCATGATGCAACCAATGAACGGGAGCACAGAGCCGATTGTTTATTGATTCCTCCTCATTTGTTTCATGAAATGCATAACAACCAATAACGGACATGTTCTCTCTGCTGTGTGTGTGTGTGTGTGTTTACACCAAAGGTCCAAATAGAAAGATACTGCTCGACATGCTGTGTAGTGTAGGGGTCCAGCGTTGCCTCCCCCCCTCCCCCGCCAGTCCTCCCCCCGCCTCCACCAAGGCCACGCCTGCAGGCATAGGTAACAGCCCCCTATTCCTCCGCCTGCATTTTAATTTCCCCTTTTCTTACATTCTTCACGCCGTCTCTACTCCGATGCGTTTTGTATTTAGTTTTCTTTTAAGTGAAGGCAGAACGAGGAGGATTTGAGTTGTGGTCTGTAAACACACATGCTCCCTGGCGCCCCCTGTGGCGATTAGCCGTAACTACAGCGTTTTGTTATGCATTAAGATTTGTTTTTTCCCAGTAAAGTGCTCTTAAAATTTAAATTTTATATATTGCTGAATCACCTCCAACATTTAAATGAACATGTTGGAGGTGAATCAGCTTTGCTCCGCCTCCTAAACGCCTCATGCTGTAGCTGTGCTGACTGATTACTAACTATGAACTCTGGTGATGGTATGTTTTAATTTAAGTGTGTTTTAATTTAAATGTGTTTTAATTAAAACACAATAGATGTAACGCGTGATTACCATTGAGTATTTGTAGAACCCCCCCAGAAGAGCGTTTTCCCTCCGCAGTGCACACATTGGATGCCATGCAATGTCCCCGTTTTGACAGCTGTTGTGATTGGCTGACAGGGTTTCAGGATCTTCTGTACGCGGGGGCTGCAGTCGGTGCAATAAGCAGAGGCGCGTCTGTGGTGGACGGCGCCGAGATGGCCACCAGGAAGTGAGTAAGGACTCTCCTTGAACTGAGCGCCGTCCCTCTAGTCCCAACCCTCCTCCTCCGCTCTGCAGGATGGACCGGATGCTGTGTCTGGACGGTGGAGGCATCAAAGGCCTGGTGTTGATCCAGATGTTGATCGCCCTGGAGCGGGAGGCCGGTCGGCCCACCAGGGAGCTCTTTGACTGGGTGGCCGGAACCAGCACCGGCGGTATCCTGGCCCTGGCCATCGTCCACGGTGTGTGTGTGTGTGTCTTTGTATTGCCACGTGTTCATGGCAGCAGTGTAATAACCATGGCGATGTCTGTGCTTTGTGCAGGTAAATCCATGGAGTACCTGCTCTGCCTGTACTTCAGGATGAAGGAGCAGGTTTTCAAAGGGTCGCGACCTTACGAGTCGGCGCCGCTGGAGGACTTCCTGAAGAAAGAGTTTGGAGAGGACACCAAGATGACGGACGTCTGTTACCCCAGGTGACCCTTCGCGTGGACGGCACTTCCATTACATCACATCACATCAGATCACATTACATTGCATCACATCACATCACATTACATTTATCTGACGCTTTTATCCAAAGCAACTTATAATAAGTGCATTTCAACCATAAGGAAACAAATTCAGAAGAGCAAGAAACAAAGTGCAGTTTGATAAAATAAGCCAATTTACAATTTTAAGTGGCGTTAAAAGTACAATTTAAGTGCTACAATGTGTTAGTCTTTAGTGGAGGTAGAGTCTGAAGAGGTGTGTCTTTAGTTTCCTATTTCCTCATAGACGTCTATGGGAGCAGAGGAGTCGCCCCCTGCTGGTCACTACAGAGAAGTAGAGTCATTTCCTCATAGACGTCTATGGGAGCAGAGGAGTCGCCCCCTGCTGGTCACTACAGAGAAGTAGAGTCATTTCCTCATAGACGTCTATGGGAGCAGAGGAGTCGCCCCCTGCTGGTCACTACAGAGAAGTAGAGTCATTTCCTCATAGACGTCTATGGGAGCAGAGGAGTCGCCCCCTGCTGGTCACTACAGAGAAGTAGAGTCATTTCCTCATAGACGTCTATGGGAGCAGAGGAGTCGCCCCCTGCTGGTCACCACACAGAATGCAGCTTTAACTCGTGAAGCTCTGACTTCAATTTAAACCACGGTCCCAAACCGTTTTTGCCTCACAGACTGATTTCCTGTTAGACAACATTTAGTGGACTGGGCCTCAAGGTGTGGCACATAACCACGACAAAATAAAACGCATTAGAACCTGACCTGACTTGACTTGATGAACCTGTATTTTATGTACAGTATGTCCTGATGCTTCCTGTGAAATGAAGATTTCATTTCTTTGAAGTTGTCTTCTCTGTCTCCTCAGAGGCCTTTCCACCTTTCAAAGAAGCTCTCATACATAGGTTTTCGCTTTATGAGACCCTGTGGTTGTGGGCCGCGGGTTTAGAGATCCAGATCTTTGTTTCCTGGCTCACAGTGGCGATTTGATGAGTGTTTGCCGGGACAGAGAAATGGACAAAGGGAGTCCTCTCCTGCTTCTTATAGAAATCAACTAGCATTTTCATCAATGTGCCAAAAGTAAAGTGATTCATAAATGTTGCTCCGAAGATTCCTGTTATAATATAACTTGTTAGATTAAACGTTTGTGCCCTGGCAGTGGAAAATAGCTTTGATATTTGAATCCTTTTTAATTTCATTGAGATATACAAAACAAAAGTAAGGGAATACTCCTAATCAAAATGCACCTGATATATTTTAGCATTTGAATAAATAAAAGGGTGAGATACACTACTTTTGAATCCATTATTTAAATACAATTACTCAATTAATTGCGGTTACAAATGTTATTTGTTATATATATATATATATATTATACATATACATATATATATATATATGTGTGTGTGTTGAGTCGTGCTCTGGTTTCAGGGTGATGGTGACCAGCGTTCTGGCGGACCGACATCCAGGCGAGCTTCACATCTTCAGGAACTACAACCGGCCCTCCGTCAGCAGAGAGGCGCCGTACGCCACCACCGCCACTTTCAAGCCCCTCACCGTCCCACAAGGTACCTCCTCGCTCCGCTGGGAGCCGCCGGGCGGCCTTGTGCCGGTCCCCGTGGGCACACGTGAGCTGTGGCGCTGTGTCTGTCTGAGGCCGTGTTGTTGTTGCAGGATGGGAGGATGAGGATGTGTTGCTAGTAGGATACTCAGAGGAGCCGCCCAGAAAGCGTAGGAAGGTGACCGATGAAGGTGTGTGTCGGTGGGCGAGAACAAGGAGCATTTACAAAAAGGAAATAGGTCAGAAATGAATGACATTTTATGGGCGACACGTCCCTGTGTTTAGAGGGTCAGTCAGGTCTTTATGCTAAGCTAAGCTAGCCTCCACACTCTCCAAATGTCCGACTTCTCCTCTTGTTGGAATCCAGAATGAATTCTGAACCAGTTTTTTTAAAGCCTCAAACATTTTTACGGCAGAACAACTGGTGTGGCGAGCCGCCCGCTCCAGTGGAGCCGCCCCCTCCTACTTCCGACCGATGGGCCGCTTTCTGGACGGCGGGCTGCTGGCTAACAACCCGACGCTGGACGCCATGACGGAGGTCCATCAGTACAACAAAGCTCTGAGAGCACAGGTGGGTCGTGTGACATCTACCCGACCTTTAAAGTGGTTGTAGGATCATTTATGATCTCATCCCTCTCCTCTTCCCCCTCAGGGCCGCGGAAACCAGGTCAAGAGGTTGGGGGTCGTGGTGTCCCTCGGTACAGGTGAGCAGCCTCAGTCTAGAACACTTTCTGACGGTATACGTCGGAACATTCAATTCAGAGGAAGTGCTGCGTCCACACATCTGTTTGAGACCTGTCAATCAGCATGTAGCCCCGCCCTAAAGCATCCCGCGCTTTATGGTCTAGAGATCAGTGTTCTTCTCAACGCACCATCAGGTCGAGAAGGACGTGTCTTGCTGCCGTTAGCTCCAATGCTAAGACTCAAAGAGGGTTGTTCTTTGAAACCAAACCAAACGCGTCTCTCTCCAGGTAAACCTCCTCAGGTGGTGGTGAGCTCCGTTGATGTTTTCCGACCCTCCAATCCTTTGGAGCTGGCCAAGAGCTTCGTAGGAGCCAAGGAGCTGGGCAAGATGCTGGTGGACTGTGTGAGTACAACCATGCATGTAAATATCTGTGAGTTCAGCACCTGATAATAATCATTATTTATTTGGCTAATAAATGTTTCCTGATTCCTGATTCCTGATCAACCAAACACCTGTAGAATCTCAGTGAACTGTACTTCCTGTTACAGAGATGGAGAGGGACAAATTAGCTAGCTAGCTAGCTGTGAAGGCTAGCTTTCTAGGCAGCTAACTTGTCCAATCTTGGACAGAAGTTGACTATGTATTAGTAACTAAAAGTGTTCACTTATTCTGCCGTCTTCTAAGCCCCGCCCACAAAAAATGGCACCATGGTTACTAACAGAAAAGTCGTCTATACATTTCGTCGTCCAATCAGAACACAGATTGGTCTTTTCTGTGTGTCCCTGTGTGATTGGTCTCTCCCGCTCTCTGATTGGTCAGTGCACAGACTCTGATGGCTGTGCGGTGGACAGAGCTGGAGCTTGGTGTGAGATGATTGACACCGTCTACCACAGGTCAGCTGACTGAACCCTTCAGTCCTCCACTTCTACAATTCTGACATCTTCACCCTCCTGCGTTTTAAATGAGCAGTATCTCTAATTGGTTGACAATTGACAACAAGTTGACATATGACACATATTAGACAAACAGTTGGGTAACTTTACATCTGCTGTTCGTCTTGTTTCTACCAGAGGGCCTTTGGGTGCCTTTGTTAAAGCCCTGTGCAAATAGAATGTGATACTACCCCTGCAATTCATTGAAGCTAATAGACACAATTAGCTCTCCAGCCAATCGGCATTAAGATGTTCCTTGTGACATCACTGACGTCCTTCTTCACTGATTGAACCAGACTCCTTTCAGAAAATAAGCCCTTTAAAAGTTATTTTTGTGATTTAAACCACAGCCAAATCTCTCTCTTTGGGGTTCATACAGATGTGATAAAGCAGCCGACTGGCGTCCTCATGGATACCGTGAACACGCCCGTGATGATGTCATGAAATCCCCACATTGTTGATTGTCTCGCTGTCTTTGCGCAGGCTGAGTCCCCAGCTGTCTCAGGAGGTGATGCTGGATGAGGTGAGTGACGCGGTCTTGGTGGACATGCTGTGGGAGACCCAGATGTACCTGTACGAGAGGAGGGAGACCCTCCGCTCGCTGGCCCAGCTGCTGCTGGACCAATGAGAGCGCGGCGTGGTGGGACTCCATGACTCGCACTCACGCACACGCGTGAATCTGAGACGGGGAGACGACCCGATGACCTTCTTCCTCCCACGGCCCTTTAAGCTCAGCCCTTTGTCTCTGCACCAACGAAGAAGACGGAGCGCTAATGCTAATCGTAGCATTCCTCCGGATGAGGATGAAAGGTCTCGTTTACGGCCTCCTCTCCAAGTGAAGACCAGCCGCTTCCTGCACAACTTGAACACGGGTTCTTTTTGTATTTGCATTAATCACTGATGTGTTGTATGCTAATAAACTAATTATTATGTACTCTTGTTGTTCCTTGGTAGCATTACTGTTAATCGTTGCCCCACCTCCTCAAACCTCATTGTGGACACCGGTGTCCCACAGGGCTGCGTGCTGAGCCCCCTCCTACTCGCTCTTCACCCACGACTGCAGACCGCTGCAGAGGCTGTCAACATAAACACATTAATCTATGTGATTAATGTGACCAAGATTAATGCAAACAATGTAGAGCAGTTAACGTACCTTCGGAAGTTGACCGCGGAAACAAAATGGCCGCTAGCTGCTGTCGTTACAAGATAACAAGAAAGAGCTTTTTCAACTAGAAGTAAAAACAAACAGACTGTGCAGAGGAATTACACGTGTGAAACAACGACTTGAAGCACCGCTACGCTAAACTAGCTGTACTAGCTAAGTACAGTACTTGTACATTGAGAGTACTCATTGCCCTCAATCGCAGTAAATATGTTGCACAACAGTGAAATGCTTTGACTTGTGCCACAGATTACAACATCACACACGCTTCTGACTTAGAAGTGTGTTTGTACTTGCTTCAGTGTGCCGCGCATGCGCAGACCGTCACCGACGTCTACACCGGTAGTGACGTGAAAATGGCGTCTCCGGCCGCCCGGCTCTCCGTACGCCGCTTGTCTTGGGGACACCGGAGCGGTTGTTTCCCGAACGTCGTCGCCAGACATGCGGCCGTATGTTCGGCCGCGACGCCCCAGGCGCGCGGGGGCGGCGCGGCGGTCCGCCGCGGGCCGCGGACACCCGGGAGTGCCGTGACATTGGGACCGCTGAGAGGTGAGATGACGTTAGCTAACAGTTAGCATGCTAGATGTTGTTAGCATAGCATGCCGTCAGAGCCGCGGGGTTCCCCTCAGCTAGCTAAGGGCTAACGCCTCCGTGGGTCGTTAGCATTGCTGTGAGACGTAACTGCCCTTTGTTAGTGTGTAGCAGCAGTGTGGTGACGTAACTAACGGTGTGGTGACGTCAGGGTGACGCTCGTTGCAGTCTCCACGTTAGCTAGTTGGTTGTTCTGATAGATAATTATGTCCTGAGGGGATAAATGCATTGATTTCTGACCTTGTTATTGATTGACAGCTAGCTTCTTCATGCTAGTTTGGGGCTGTGCACAAAAACAAACCTCTCACATCGAATGTTGCAGACTCTTAATCAGATATGAAGTCCTCCTGATGTCACGGTGGCTCATGGACATTTGTCTCCGCAGGCTTCAGATGTCCTCCCGGCATCTCCTGCCACTCCTATCACACCAGCAGCCGGTCAGCGAGCAAGCAGGACTTGTACGACGTGTTGGGTGTGTCCCGCTCTGTATCCCAGAAAGACATCAAGAAGGCTTACTACCAGGTCAGAGACGCCTCGGCCCGCAGCCAGCACCTCCGGGAAGACCTCCACCTCTCGCCTCACTGCCATCTGCTTTATGTCCCTCCCAGTTGGCCAAGAAGTACCACCCGGACACCAACCCGGATGAGCCCGACGCCAAAGAGAAGTTTGCCCAGCTGGCTGAAGCCTACGAGGTACCAACGCATAAACATGGAGGCGCTATGATGACTGTGTCTACCTGCTGCAGAGACACATGATGTCGTTGGTGTGAAGGTGCTGAGCGACGAGGTGAAGAGGAAGCAGTATGACACCTACGGCGCGGCCGGCTTCGATCCCGGCCGAGCCGGGGCGGCGGGCCAGCAGCAGTACTACAGGGCGGGGGGGGCCAACATCGACCCCGAGGAGCTCTTCAGGAAGATCTTTGGAGAGTTTTCTGGAGGCAGGGGCTTCGCAGACATCAACAACATGTTTGAACAACGGCCCGAGGTGACTCCTGTTTGTCTTTGAGGGGACGCCGACGCGTCCGTCGGCTCGTTGTAAAGCTCTCGCCCTGATTCGTCCCACAGTTTGTGATGGAGCTGAGCTTCTCCGAGGCCGCCAAGGGCGCCAGCAAGGAGCTGAGCGTGAACATGGAGGACACCTGTCCTCGCTGCGATGGGCGGGGCAACGAGCCGGGCACCAAAGTCTCCCACTGCCACTACTGCAACGGCACCGGCATGGTGAGTGTCCCCCAGCCGAGACCCCCGACCCCTCAGGGACTCACCGGCTGTGTCTCAAAGTCGCTGGTCTGCATCCTTCAGCAGCCTTCTGGTCTTCCTGCTCCTCCAACAACCGCACAGCCATTGATTCTGTACCGGTACTTAGACAGTGATATTTGTCTGCCTGAGCTCACGTTGATCCATTTCTATTCATAACATGAAGTATAAACTATATAAAACCGTCACAGCGTCAACCTCTAAAGTGAGAGTGAAGTCGTTAAAGTGACTTTTCACTGACGAGTACAGACCAGCTGCTCGTTGTGTGTTTCATTCCTGAATGAATTAAATCCTCGTCGGCTGCACTGCATGCTGGGATATGCAGTATGTCCTCCAACCGGCTCCTGGAGGACTGCGTCCCTCGACCGCGTTCAGAGGAGCCGACGGAACGAGACCGCCGGGTCGCAGCGGAAGTGACGTATGCGGTCGGCGAACGCGTCCTGAAGGGTGCAGCCTAACGAGACACATGACATCACATGACATCACATGACACACATGACATGACACATGACACATGACATGACACATGACATGCCACTGAGGTGCTGAGGTTGGCTTTAAAGGGTGTGAATGGGATGTTTCCCGTCACCATAATAACAACAACAAAAGAATTATCTTCTACAATTGAGGGTATTTATTTCATACTTAACATATTTGATGAATAATTATATGATTTCATCATGTGGGGTTATGTTTGTTCCATCGTTAATGTTTAATATCACCGGATGAACCCCCCCCGTCTCCCCCCCGCAGGAGACCGTCAACACCGGTCCGTTCATGATGCGGACGGGCTGCCGGCGCTGCGGCGGGAAGGGGTCCATCACCAACACGGTGTGCGCTCTGTGCCGCGGGTCGGGCCAGATGAAGAAGAGGCAGACGCTCACGGTGCCCGTTCCTCCTGGTGGGTGTCGGGGTCCAATCCATTCGGATTCTGGGTCCGGATCCAGTCAGTGACCTCTGGTTTACAGAATTCTAAAATGATCGAGTCTTTTCTTTTTTTAACGTTGTTAATCATCAAAAAGATAAAACAAGTTGTTTTTATTAAAACACCCTGTAATGACACTTGGGTAACGTCTATACTGCAACAAGTCATCGCTTCTTCTCTCTTAACGCAGACGATGAACAAAGAGCCGTGAAGTTGATTTAACCCTAAAGCGTCTATGAGTCTTGGTAAACGGTTCTGTAAGCGCTTCTTCTTCTCCCAGGAGTGGAAAACGGTCAAACGGTTCGCATGTCGGTGGGAAAAAAAGAAATCCTCATCACATTCAGGGTGAGTCGCTCCTCTGAAGCCGCTCGTGCGCCTACGAGTTGTTGGTCGGGTGTTCTGACCCGAAGCGCCTCCTGCAGGTCCAGAGGAGTCCGGTGTTCAGGCGCAGCGGAGCGGACCTCCACTCAGACGTGATGATCTCTGTGGCTCAGGCCGTCCTGGGGGGCACGGCCACGGCCCCCGGCCTGCACCAGACCATCAGCATACTGGTGAGACCTTGTTGACCTACTGGTTGTGGTCACGTGATGGACGCGTCCCAGCACACCTGGTAGCACGAGACCAATGATCGGACTGTGCGTTGTCAGATTCCGGCCGGTTGCCAGGGCGACCAGGTGATCCGCCTCCAGGGGAAAGGCATCCGGAGGATGAGCACCTACAGCTACGGAGACCACTACGTGCACATCAAGATCAAAGTGCCCAAGTAAGACCTGGACCAAGACCAGGAAGACCACATGTTTACATACGCAGGAAGACTTTTAGCGTTTCAAAGCTCATTCATTCAATGAAGATTTAATAGAAGTCAATTTTACCCTCTGAAACCCAAAAGCCGCCAGTGGCATTTAAGGGAACATTTCATTTAAACAATGGCCCAAACTACACCCTTTATCTTCATCTTCATCGTGAGATTCAGAACTGAAACTGTAACAAGCTTTAAATGTAATATAAACCAAAACCTTCTACTTCTCATTAAATATCTCTCCCTGATTAAAACTATCACATTGAACAGAATCCGTTAACATGAAATCTGGACCTCAGTGAAACGATGACGTCATCGTTTATTCATCTGATACCAGAAGTCATGTGACCATAAATCTATAAGTTTATAGTGACTATACAAAGCGCTGATGTGGGGTTTCTTCTAGTCTCCATTTATCTCTTTCCGTAGAGGAGCAGGACTTTTATTTTGAAGGGGAAAAGGAGGTTAAAATATGTGAGACGCTTTGACTTGTGAGGAATTAGAATGTTTGTAACGTCTCTGCATATGAATCCTCCATATGAAACATGTGACTCCCCGCAGGAAGTTGACCCGCCGCCAGCGCTCTCTGCTGCTAAGCTACGCCGAAGACGAGACGGACGTTCAGGGGACGACAAACGGCGTCGAGCGGCCTGCAGGTCAACACCCCCCCCCCCCCCCCCCCAGGAAAAAAATCCCCCCCCCCCCCCCGCCCGGCTCTAATCCCACTGTGTGTTTGTCTCAGCAGGGGGCAGCAGAAGCTCACAGTCCGGTCCCGGGTCCAACGGCTCGGGGGAGGAAGAGCAGCAGGAGAAGGACAAGAAGAAGGAGGAGAAGAAGAAGGAGGAGGAGGAGGAGGAGGAGGGAGGCTTCTTCTCTAAGCTGAAGAAGATGTTCAGCTGACAGGTTGGATCTTCAGTCCCTTGATCACGCATCAATAATCAGGAAGCGGACCGCTTCAACAGCAACAAGTGGACATGAAGATCAGTAACATCGATCGATCGTGGTTGTGTTTCCATGGCGATACGAGTCTTCTAAACAATACAATCCACCCCAGAAGAATACTGTTGGACTCTTCTGCCCTCTGCAGGAAGGAAACCCTATGCGGCAATAAAAGACGTCCACGCCGTGGTTACCGTGGTTACCGAGGCTGAAGGACGTCTCGCAGCCACACACACACACACACACACACACACACACACACTCTGGACTCTGTTTCCCTGCAATCAGCCTTCTGGCTTCGGGGGAAACCAAAAGCAGACGCTTCTCATCAGGCTGTGATGTCACAAGGCGTCTCTTGGTGTCCTTGTCCCTCCCAGCGAGGACGGAACGAAGGCGCTCGGTGTTCAGACGCTCCGATATCTTAGAGTAAACAAACGAATTAAACGCTGGAGCTTATTCAGGGAATGTCTGTTCTTCATTATCACAGAGACGTGTTGGTCGCTCTCACGCTGCTAGCGAAGGACAAAGAGGTCAAGGTGACATTTAAAACATGAGAGCCTGAATCAGCTGTTGTTTCATCAGATGAGGAAACAAAGATGCTGACAAAAGCCAAGGAGACATGGACAAGGACAAGACATACTACGGCCCTCTGTCCTCCCCTCTCTCCTCTCCTCTCCTCTCCTCTCTCCTCTCCTCCCCTCTGTCCTCTCCTCTCCTCTGTCCTCTCCTCTCTCCTCCATATGCATTTGAGAAAGTGATGTGTCCTCCAGCTGAAGGCGCTGAGATCCTGACAGACAGACAGGAGGACGGAGGAGACGAGGAGCGGCCTTTCAGCATTAGGCTCCTCCCACCCGACAAAATAAAGTCCAAAGAGACAGAAGCACGTTTCTATAACAACAATCTATAACAATAATCATGTCGCATTGAATGGGATGTCAAACGACCAGAAGTGCTCATCTGCATGCGGTTGCTATGCTAACTTAGCATCTTAGCTTAGCCTCAGGCCTTTAGCTTCACAGCGTGAGAGTTTAAAGAGTTTAAACAGTCAAATGATCAGCATATTTTCTTTAATCACATTTCGTAGATCCACGATTCTTATCACTACTTAACAAAATGAAACTATTTCGTTGTCTCAGTACCTGTACTGCAATGACAAAGAATATAATGTAATATTTAAATAGATAACAATCTGCTCCATATGGTATCTAATGGCAGTTGGTTTCAAATGGGTTCTGGTCATACATCTCAAATAAAGATCTATTGGGAGTGTAAAGGTTTGTATAAAGTTTTTCATTTAGTTTGATACCATTTGATGCACAGATTTGGTGGTAAATTTATCTTAAAATATTCCAATCCACACATTGATAAAGCGTTAAATAAGATACTTGGTTTTGTTTCAGCGTTACAATCCCCGATGTTTGTGAATCTACATTCTCGTATCAGGGGGACTGAATGCAGTGCATCCATTGGAGGAGCCATCCATCCATCCATAGAGTTATCCAAAGGGCCACTATCATCCATCCATCCATAGAGTTATCCAAAGGGCCACTATCATCCATCCATAGAGTTATCCAAAGGGCCACTATCCATCCATCCATAGAGTTATCCAAAGGGCCACTATCATCCATCCATCCATCCATAGAGTTATCCAAAGGGCCACTATCATCCATCCATCCATCCATAGGAGAGTTATCCAAAGGGCCACTATCATCCATCCATAGGAGAGTTATCCAAAGGGCCACTATCATCCATCTATAGGGCTGCCATCCTTGAAGTTGAACGGTTGAAAGTTGATTCAACTGTTAGAGTCAATTGTACGAGCTGGAGTTATTATCCTGTTTTTAACTCTACATCGTGTATTTAACACTGATCAGATTTAGTTGCGACACTTAGTTACAGTAGAGGAGTTAAATGAACTCTTTGATAGGTTTGAAATGTAACTGTACACCAGTGTCACACTTCTTGGCGTTGGGTTTAACTCTACGTACAGTGACACTTATTCAGAGTTGAGTGTTGATTTAACACTGACAGGATTGGGACAATATAAACACCAGCTTAGACTCTGAATGGAATCTGACAGAGTCAATTTATCTCTCTGGAATGTTCTGTGTACTTGACTATCTTCTCTTTATGCCATAAGATAATCTCCTCTCTGTTCTAATGACGTTGTTTGTACCTTCGGGGTCACTGAAAACCCTTCGGCCGGATGGACACTGGCTTCTGCTATTGGTTGTTTTCTGTGATTCCTCAGGACCAAAGTGTCGGCTCCTACATTCTATTAAGCTTCGGCTCATCAAACTACTCAGAGCGCTACGAGAGTTCACAGCGTTCAAAGTCAGGAGCGAGTAACTGGAATCACATCGTCCGGTGAGTCATTGTGAGCCCACGGCCTCACAACTCACACTACTTTGGACCAACGGATACATGAGCACCAAGCACAGGCCAACGGAGAGATTTCATCACGATCCATAGCCAACCTGCAGCTAGTGTGTGTGTGTGCGTGTGTGTGTGTGTGTGTGTGTGTGTGTGTGTGTGTTAGGCTAAAGGGGAACTTTGGTTCCAGCCTGTTTCCCATTTCCCCTCAATCAGAAAAACCTCAGGTCCAATTTCACCCAGCCTTCCTTCTCCCACACATCCCCGGATAATTAGGCCTCCAGATCACTGCCACATGCATGTGGGAGTGTGTGTGTGTGTGTGTGTGTGTATTAAGTATATTTACGTCGAGGGGTCAAGGAGATGTTCATCACCTAACCAACTATTAGAATGTTGATGACCCCCGTATTTAGAACCAGGAAGCCGGATGGTTTCCATGTGGTCTATGATTCTGTGCCCCCCCCTCCCCCCCCTCGGGCCTCCAGCTTCTCACAAGAATCACCATGACACATGGGCGGATGACCTCATGCTTGCTGATGTTTGTCCAACTTTTCCCTCACATTTGTTCCGCTGACTTTCTCTTCTCAGTATATTCCTGGACCCGCTGTGGAGAAGCGGCGGCGGGGTGGGGGGGCGGCGGCGGCGAGGTGGGGGGGCACAGGCTTCATTGTTACGTGAAACCAGCGGCCTCTGGGACCATAAAGCCGTCGCTTTAGCAAAAAGTGCAGAACCGGTTTGGAACCGAGGTGTGTGAATATTAAGCTAAGTTGACCTTCTTCTGGCTCAAATATTTTGTTATTTTGAACTTAATGTGAAAATGGTGGTTTAATGTTTCCTGTAAAGTCGCCTTTCAGCTTATTCCACTTATTCACTGCTGCTCTGCTGGGTCGGCCCGTCTGGTGCTTCTGTCTTTAACCAGGACACTTGATTAAGAGCTCGCTATTCATCAGCGGGCAGCAAACTGAGTGTTCAGCTGAGTGGAGCTGAAGGAATTTAAGTAACACGGAGTCAGAAGATACAGAGCAAGTTCTCTGACCTCCATAACGTTTCTCTTCTTCATCGGTTCAGTCCGACATTCTTCAAATCCACTGAGGAGCTTCTCCGCCTCATTGAACGAACCGCTTCACAGTCATAATCTGAATCCTATCTGCTGCATTTCCTTCTAAATAACCAAATTAATGAAAGTGACCAAAGTCTGAGGGATTAATGGATGATGAGTTCAGACAAAGCGTTCATCTTGAATTTGGATATCAGCTATTTTATAGTTTCTCACAAACATCAGAGAAACACTCTCTGGGTGAATAAAGGTCTGCTTTGGGCTTCCTTCGGTTCCCGGGATCTTTACTGGACTGGAAGAAGAAGATAGTCGGACCACAGCGGCTTGGTCTTCAATCAGAGGAACTCAGCTGGGCTCTGTCATTACCGCAGTGGTCGCTGAGTCGCTTCGTGTTATTCTGCGTTACTGAGGATGAAGGTGTCAGAGCGCCCAGTAAAAATACAGCGCTCGGTTACTTTCTCATTTTGATATCTGGAGTGTGTGAGCCGGTTGGCTGTGTATAAATGTTGCTTCAGGGGGGTCACAGACTAACGTCCTGAGGCACTTTTTCTCCAATAAAGAACACTTCTTCACAACCGGGAACTACTTGTGGACTCGCTGCACAACGTGACCTGGAAGAACCTAGAAACCCTCAAAGCAACCTTCTCACCTCTGACTCAACCCTCATCGGGCTCTTCCAGGGGATCAATTTATCCTTGAATGATGAATAATGGGAGCTTTAACATTAAAACATTATTTTGAATATACTCACTCAACTGTTTAACAATTCACACAAACGCAGACAGACGAACACACAGGTGTGACTATGAGGCTGTGAAAGACCTACTGTGGAGAGCTGAGGTGTGTTAAAGGGTGTGACTTGATTAAGTAGCTTTAGTTCTACACTTAGGACTCTTCATTCTTACTTAAGACTCTTCATTCTACAATTAGGACTCTTCATTCTTCACTTAGGACTCTTCATTCTTACTTAGGACTCTTCATTCTTCACTTAGAACTCTTCTATCTTACTTAGGACTCTTCATTCTTCACTTAGGACCCTTGATTCTTACTTAAGACTCTTCATTCTTCACTTAGGACCCTTCATTCTTACTTAAGACTCTTCATTCTTCACTTAGAACTCTTCTATCTTACTTAGGACTCTTCATTCTTACTTAAGACTCTTCATTCTTCACTTAGGACTCTTCATTCTTACTTAGGACTCTTCTATCTTACTTAGGACTCTTCATTCTTCACTTAGGACTCTTCATTCTTACTTAGGACTCTTCATTCTTCACTTAGAACTCTTCTATCTTACTTAGGACTCTTCATTCTTCACTTAGGACCCTTGATTCTTACTTAAGACTCTTCATTCTTCACTTAGGACTCTTCTATCTTACTTAGGACTCTTCATTCTTCACTTAGAACTCTTCTATCTTACTTAGGACTCTTCATTCTTACTTAAGACTCTTCATTCTTCACTTAGGACTCTTCATTCTTACTTAGGACTCTTCTATCTCACTTAGGACTCTTCATTCTCCACTTAGGACTCTTCATTCTTCACTTAGGACTCTTCATTCTCCACTTAGGACTCTTCTATCTTACTTAGGACTCTTAAGTTCTGAGCATATTCCTAAATAAACTTCAATTAGTTTCTTGAACACACAAAACTTAAAATTAGTACTTATAACAATTTAAAAACGAAAGGATGTTTGAAGAAGGTAGACTATAACCCTTTAAAGAACTCGGCGTTGACAGCCCCGGGTCAGAAGGTCAGCAGCGTCCATGATGTTCAGCTTGTGGTACCACTCGTGTGTCTCGGGGGTCTCTGGAGGGTGTGAGTCCTCCGTGTGGAGCTGATGGGAGTGTGTGTGCGTTACTGAAGGAGCAGTGGCTCTGGTTTCAGAGGTCCTGCTCTCTCTCTCCTGTCAGTTTAACTGCAGACGTCTTAATCTGAGCTCTGCAGCGTATGTTTGGGTGAAACGTAAGCAGATGTTGACACGGTGCTGTAAACACACTGTGTCGGGGGGGTCGCGTCAGTCCGTGGTTCAAGCTCACAGCGTCTTCCTCAGAGACATTACAGCTCGTTACATTCAAACCAGGAAGCAACCTCTGTTTCTTCAGAGTGGAGCCAAAGCTTCACTGCATTCCCTGTAGTGACCAGCAGGGGGCGAGTCCTCCGTCCCATAGACGTCTATGAGAAAGGACTAGTAAGTACACATTAGTTTATGGTCACTGAAGAAATGGATTCATGTTCATTTGTATTTACACACAATAAATACAATTGTGATTCTCAAGACATTTAAATTTGAGGGGAAAAAATTGGTTGGAAGAAAAAAAAAATGGTCTTATCAACCAAAGATTTTGCGACCCTCCTGCAGTACCGGACCCCCTGTTGAAGACCTCTGAGCATAAAACACCACCTCAGAAGTAACGTGAACACTGTTGGATGAGCTGGTTTCGACTGTTGACTCCTCCCTCCGTCGTGCGTGTGAGGAGACCGGACGGAGAGCAGAGACGGACCCGACAGGACGCCTGCTGAACACAGCGGGGGGCTTTGCGCTGGTGTTGTAACAGCTGGTCTCACAGAGAACTCCCCATGGCTGCAGTTGTGTATCAGCATGTGTAGTTCGCACAAAGAGCTGACGGGTGGTGCTGAACCCTGAGCTCCGTCTGAAAGGCTACAGAGGCTCCGACCCCCGACACGTGAAGTAATGAGTCCGGTTCAGGCAACACAACTACCTGTTCAGGTTAGAGGGGATTCGGCCCCTTATGCACATTGTTCATCAGCCTTGTTTCACTGGCTGTTGTTTCATTTTCTATGACAACGTTCGTGTGTTGTGAAGGTTGTTAAAACCCTCTGAAACGTTTGAGAAAGGCCAGACCCCCCCCCCCCCCTACTACATCTGCAGTTCATGTAGCTGCTGCCTAAGAACCACTCGCCTCCTTCGCCAACAAACCACTCGACTCGCTGCCTCTTTGTCTTTGTTGGGACTTTCCCTCCCCTTCCTCCTCTTCCTCCTCGGCCCCCAAACTCCTGGTGCTGGTTAGTGATGAATCGTTCCTCTGGAGCTCCACGTCTCGTTCCACCCACACAACCTTCTCCACCCAACCTTTCCCCTCTTTTCCATCATGCTCCACCATCTGACGTGGGTTTGTTTTAGTGACGTCTCGTTCAACACGGAGACATTTGTGTGTGTGTGTGTGTGTGTCTTTGTGTGTGTGGGAGACACTCGTCCTTCCTCTCTTGGCTTCATCCCACAAGGATCGTGGGATGATCCTTCTGCCAAACCCAAATAAATAGGAAAAAAAACGAGATGAAATAAACCAACATGTCCTCTATAAATAGAATAAAGAAGATTGGTCCTTCTAGTTGTTTGTCCCTCCCCTTTATCTGTCCATTAAACACCAATACAAACAAGACTCTATGAGGGAATTGACTCTACTTCTGTTGCAGTGACACAGCAAGGGGCGACCTCCTCTGCTCCATAGACGTCTATGAGGAAATGACTCTACTTCTCTGTAGTGCCAGCAGGGGGCGACTCCTCTGCTCCCATAGACGTCTATGAGGAAATGACTCTACTTCTGTGCAGTGACCAGCAGGGGGCGACTCCTCTGCTTCCCATAGACGTCTATGAGGAAATGACTCTACTTCTCTGTAGTGACCAGCAGGGGGCGACTCCTCTGCTCCCATAGACGTCTATGAGGAAATGACTCTACTTCTCTGTAGTGCCCAGCAGGGGGCGACTCCTCTGCTCCCATAGACGTCTATGAGGAAATGACTCTACTTCTCTGTAGTGACCAGCAGGGGGCGACTCCTCTGCTCCCATAGACGTCTATGAGGAAATGACTCTACTTCTCTGTAGTGACCAGCAGGGGGCGACTCCTCTGCTCCCATAGACGTCTATGAGGAAATGACTCTACTTCTCTGTAGTGACCAGCAGGGGGCGACTCCTCTGCTCCCATAGACGTCTATGAGGAAATGACTCTACTTCTCTGTAGTGACCAGCAGGGGGCGACTCCTCTGCTCCCATAGACGTCTATGAGGAAATGACTCTACTTCTCTCTTGATTTATTCCCTCAGTAAACATTGTAAACATGAGTTTATGTCTCAGTCTCTAGTTTCAAGTCTTCTTCAACACAACATGATGTTTCTTTAGTGAATGATGGTCCATGTGGAGCAGGGGACGCTTTAGGGCGGGGCTACACGCTGATTGACAACAATCACTGAGACGTCCTCTCCCTCCCACAAGGTTTGATTGACAAGTCTGTCAACTAACTGGGGAGAAAAACAACGCAGCGCTTTTAGTTTGTCACCAAAGACGACAAAGAAAACTAATGTCACTTTAAGAGACAACATCCTGTAGAGGCCCTGAGGGGGGACGGGTGGACGGGGGAGACGGGGGAGACAGGGGGAAACATTCAGGAGACGTTGTTTTGTATTCTGATCATTTGATGCATTCGGCCTCTTTTTCCTCCACATGGACTGTTTTATTTAACTGAACCTGAAAAAAGTAAAACCACAGCTGACTTTAGAGGGCAGAAAGCCCCCCGACCCCCCCGACCCCCCCCTTTAAACAGATGAGTAACTGGTGGAATGACAGCGAGGGAAAGCTTGAACTCTCCCCCCTCTCCTCTCAGCACTCAACCAATGAGCACATAGTTACACTCATGATACCAAGAATTGATCCAGTGGGACGTCTGATAATGTTTGTTCTTCCATGTTAGGAAATGACAGAAAATGAGAGGCGACGTCTAATGAAACAGTTTCTGATGGTAACAATGGACGAGCTGCTTATTTGTGATTTGACCCAGAGGTCAAAGGTCGGCCTGCTCGGAGCTGCAGGGGAGGAGCAGACTCTCTACATTACACAGGTACAGCTGCATTGACACACACACACACACACACACGCACACACACACGTTTAAACCATTATCAAGTTCAACAATCTGTCTGCAGCTGGAATCCGGCCCGTTGACTCCATCAACCCGCCTCCAGCAGGCCGGACCGCCTTCATTACAAGCAGATTGTTCCAATCAATCAGCCCCACACGCACGCACACGCACACGCACGCACACACACACACACACGCACACACACGCACGCACGCACGCACGCACGCACGCACGCACACATGCACACCGTCAGAGAAGGAAAGCCCCCAAACGAGAAGCACGTTTTGGGCTTAATGGGGGAGCTGGTCGTGAAGGTGGGAGATTAAATGTAGGAATTGTTGTAAATAAATCGATTCCCACGGTTGTCGTGGTGACGTCACCCATCGGCGGGGGGGTGTTTTGTGCAGCGCCGCCCTAAAGAGAATACAGCAACAACACATGAAGCTTTGACCAGAGTTCAAAGAGCAGGAGGTCGTCTCCTGATTGGATCCAGACTGAGGACCAAACGCGACCTCCGGCCTCTCTGGTCTTCTTGGATTTTGAAGCGGTCGACCAGTTTTTACGAATCTAACCGGCAAAATAAAAACTCCCCCTTTGTCACCTTCTTGTTTCAGCGCAAAGAACCAAAACACAAACGTTTGATTGTTATCTGTGGGATTACCCAGCGTGCCTTGCAGGAAGTTCCGCCCACGCTGGCCTCTGATTGTCATCAGGCAACAAGCTAACGTTAGCCTAGCAGTGCTACTAACCAGAACGTCCTGCGCTCAGGTGCGTCAGCCTCTTTCACGCTTACTGATGAAGTTATTTGTGTCCCTTACAGCACAAAAGAGCAGAGATCCAAAGCAGGTTTGTCTTTTTAATACTGGTCTTTTCTCAGCTCATTGACAGACACACACAAAGCTGTAATTGATGAACAAAGAAACACAAAACAACAGATTAAGATTAAAAACCCAAAGCCTCCCCTAAATAATCCGGGAAGGTTGAGACGCTCTGTGCGGATATCTCAACATCTCCGGCCTCCAGCGTCGAGCGCTCATGTTTGTAGTGGAACTGACAGAATGAAGCCAGTCGAGTTCTAGTGCAGACGGACACCTGAACCAACAGATGGAACGCGTCCTCCGACTGCTGAGTGGACGCACGTCCCTTTCTGGAAGGACACTTCAGTGCGTAATGTCCCACAACACGATGTTATAAAGGTTCCGCTCAGCTGCTACGGCACATGGCTGAGATTCTTTCCTAGACATAAGAAGTAAAAGTGAAAAACGAGGCAAACAAATGAATCCAAATGGTGCAGCGAGCATTTCGCAGCCCGGCTCGCTGTAAACAAGCCAAACGCACATCAGTGATCCGAGGCCGAGGAGCCGATCACCACTCGGCCTAAAGCCAAAGGAAAAGGTCCTTTGAACACAGTTTTGGGTTTGGCTTCGAGTGAAGAATCTGTGGTTCCTCCTGGTGGAGAAAACACTCGATGGTCCCCCGACATCAACCCTTCAACAAGACGAAGAAACGTAAATCAGTCCATCCGTGTGATGAGAGAAGAATTATTCCAGATTAGATAATATCAACAGAAAAGTAAACCGTTTGAGTTCTGACATTTCTTCATGCAAACTTCGTCAGCGTGGGACCCTGGAAGAGGGTCGGTGCGAGTTCTCTTCATGATCCCCACTTCTTCAGTAGCCCAAACACCGATGGGCCCTTTCACTCCAGACAGTCCCTCCCTAATCCAGCAAAAACGATTTCACCGTACTCCCAAAGTTCCTGTGACACAAACACAACGACCACGACCGTGGACCCTCCCACTTGTCTGCACTTAGTTTAATAACTTGTTTAGTTTTCACACCCAACCAACGTCGCTGGAGGACTTCTTCCTGATTAATCCCCATTAAGATCCAGTCTGAAGTATCTTTTTCAACCAAAGGGACCGTAAATGACACCTTTCCAATTGTGGATATCTGATATTAGGATGAACAATGAACAATTTCCTGAAGGACCATCTGCCTTCAACGACTTTAAAATGGTTTTGCAGTTTATTTATATTCATCTTAAAAACAAGATGGCTTTGAGGACGCTAGATTGTTATTTGATGAGCAGTGTCTTTGCATCAAGGGTAGTTCATAGTCCAAACCCCCGTTCCGTTGGGGCGGCTGAGGATTGTGACCGTGGTCGATCTCCGGCTGTTTGTGGGAGAGCGTCCCATTCGCCCCGTTCTCCAGACAGGCCTTCACCCCCTCCTGCCCCACGGGGTCGGGACCCGCCGGGTCCAGCTCCAGCTCCAGCTCCGCCCGGGACTGCCTCCTCTTTCGAACGCAGACGATCGCCCCGGCAACCACGGCCAACCCCGTCACCAGCGCCAGCGCAGCCACGGCCAGGACGAGGGTGTAGGTCAGCGGGCTCTGCGTCTCCACCCGGGGCTGCGAGGACGAGAGCGGCGGCCCTTCGGTGCGAGCCTCTGTGCACGACCCCGTCTCTGCAGAGCCGTTGGCCCTCGGGGCGACCCGCTCTCTCAGGGGGCTGGCGCAGACCGAGTAGGTGCAGTTGGGTCTCAGCCCACGCAAAGTGTACTCTGGGTAGGATGCTGGTACACTCAGGATTATGGGGCGGCGGTCCGGCCCAGAGAGGTTGCGGTAAGTCAACCGGATGCCACGGATGTGCGGCCGCGTCTCAATGAAGCGGTGCAGATCGAGGAGGATGGAAGTGGAGGTGACCTGGCGTGAACTGATGGCATCGAGCTCAGCCGGCATTGCGGCGGCCTGCAAAACTTTTGCTGCTGAAGGCTTCGGGGTCTCAGAAGCCTGGTCCACATTTTCACAGTAGAGGCCAGAGGTTCCCGACGGACAAAGGCAACCGAGCTGACCAGACGGATCAAAATGACAAGTTCCCCCATTGAGGCAGATGTTCAGTGGGCAGATGTGCTCACCGCTGGTGGAGCTCTGGGAGACTGGAGGTTCTGGTGAAAGGGTGCCGTGGGTGTTTGAGGAGGCTGTGGCCTCACTGGGTGGAGGAGGAAGAATAGCGTTGGTGTGGATGGTCCCGGGAGATGTGGCTGGAATCCGTGGAGCTATAGTACTGCCAATGGGGACGCCAGTCAGCACCGTCCTGATAGACGGACACCCAAAGTCTTTGTGCTCAAGTGCTGAAAGCATTTTCCCGGCATTGACCAGGGGGAAGTGACATCTGGTTTCCTCAGGCCTCCCGAGATCCACGTTCTTATCCTTTAGCCAAACAGGGAACCAGGCTAATGGACACAGGCAGTTAAATGGGTTCTCAGCTGCAGTCAGGTGCATCAACCTTGGGAAGGTCTGGAAGAAACTTTGGGAAAATCCCTGGAGATTAAGTCCACTGAGATCCAGTTCTTGAAGCCCACTCAGGCTTTGGAAGTCCTCCACACGGAGCTCGCTCAATGGGTTGGTAGCCAGGCTGAGCTTGGTCAGCCCCTTGAGGGAGTCATGCTTCAGGGCCTGGGGCAGCTCACTTAACTGGTTATTGGAGATGTCGAGCTCATGGAGGTTCCCTAGAGAAGCTATGAGATCTTCATTCACAGTAGTGAGGCCCAGTGAGGCCACCTTAAGGGCCTCCAGGTGGGGAGTCTGAAGGTCTGAGGGCCCCAGAGTTGGGATGTTGTTGTAGCTGAGGTCCAGAAGAAGAAGTCTTGGGAGACGAAGGGATGGCAGAGAGGTGAGCTGGTTTCCTTGCAGTTTAAGTTCCAGTAGCATCTCAAAACCTTCAAAAGCTTCTGAGTGGATGCTTTGAATGAGGTTGGCATGGAGATACAGCCTCTCCAGCTGGACCAACCCGGAAAAACTGTCTTTGGAGATGTGCGTAATGCGGTTGAAGGACAGGTCTAAGTTCCTGAGCTTTGACAGCATCTCAAACGCACCGCCTGGAATCTCTGCCAGCTCATTCTGGCTCAGATCCAGCAACTCCAATTCCACCAGGTCTTTGAAGTCATCTTGGGTCAACGTATTGATGCTGCTCTGGAAGATGAAGAGTTCTCGGGTGGTGGCGGGGACACGGGGCACGGTGCTGGAGCGCCGATGGAAGCAGAAGACGGAGTCCTGGTCCCGGCAGACGCAGTCGGCCGGGCATTCAGAGGACAACACCAGGCCAGATGAGAGGAAGAGGAGCAGGAAGTGAGGCCGCATGGCGCCAGGCCTCAATCTCTGAAAGGTATTAGAGACAGAAGATGGTTGGTGTTAAATTAGCTAATGAAGCAGGTCTCGCTTTACAAAGTGACGCAGACAACAGGCTGTAAATAGTTAGAAATTGTCCTCATCGAGGAAGAAATTAAAGTTTTCAAAATCAAACTCTTAACCCCTTGATTCTATTTGTCCGTAAGAAATGCCGGAGGATTTTATCTTTATCCCGTCCACGAGGATCCCGACCCAGAGGCCGTGGCCCCGGGCCGACACAGCCCACCCAGGGTGACCCCTCCTGGGGCCGCGAGGAGGCCGCGAGGAGGCCGCGAGGAGGCCCGGCAGCCTCCTGCGCGTGTTTACGACACGGCCTCTGCCTGCGAAACAAAGTGATGCAGCTGCGTGTTAACACACACACACACACACACACACACACACACACACACACACACACACACACACACACACACACACACACACACACACCTTACCAACAACATGGGCAGCATGAGCCACACAACGAATGTGTCAGCTTATTAATCCTGTCAGGGAAATACAGCTTTCAAATCTGCGTCTTGTGCAAAATAGTTGCTCAGCCTTTTTTGTAGTTGTGTCCTGTGTGGTTGTTTGTTGACTCTTTGTGGTTGTTTGTTGACTCTTTGTGGCTGTTTGTTGACTCTTTGTGGTTGTTTGTTGACTCTTTGTAGGGTCTGTGCCCTGCAGGCGTGCTCACAAATCCATCCACGTCAACGGGAGTTAAAGTTGGTTAGTTGATGGTTTTTGTTTTTTAATGATTACACTTGATTTGATTTGAAAAGAACATAAATACAGAGACATTAATCGGCTGCATCTCTTCCATGAAGGACGGAATGATGCATCGGTTCAGGAGAAGGGTCATGAGATGTAGTACATATGTCTTTACCACCCGTCTGGCTCTGTGTGAGGGAAATCATTCCTGAACAAAGACGTTTTATTAAAGGCTCCCCCTTTCTCCCCCCATTCCTTCCCCTCTCCTCAGAACACACCCAGTCAGACTTTGCAGGAATTTGCAATATTCTCTGGAAATCTGTCTTTATAAACACAGAGGGAAGGAGAAGAAGAAGGTGGAGGGAAGAGAAAAGTGGCTGTAGATAGAACATTAATATCTTCATATCAATGATGAGCCACATTTGGGACTTTAACAGTAAACCAGAGGTTCTGTGGATCAAACCTCTGATAATAGACTGAGAGCTACAAAGACGGCCTGGAAGACGCTCGAAACATACCATGACCTGTGTACCTGGTCTACGGGGACATTACTTCATTCCACTGGAGCGCTGGAGTTAGTAGCACGACGTTTCCTGCATCTGTTAAACAGCTTTATAAACCTCTGAGCCCGCAAAAGTCTAATGTGCGTATGTATGCATAATATATATATATATTTACATATATAGAAGAGCGTACATGGTCGCGTCATGGAGAATTGAGCAAACGGAGGAAAATGACGTTGGTGTCCCTCGTTTCCTCCACATCTGGATCAAGGAGCGACGTAGTGAAGCAGCTCGGCGGTTTGACGCTGTGACCTAAAGCGAGCCGCGACGTATCCGGAGCCTCAGCCGGCTCCCAGGGACAGTAAAGACCACCGACAACTGCCCTCCTAGCGCTATGTAGCTCTATGTAGTGCTTCGTAGCTCTATGTAGCGCTTCGTAGCTCTATGTAGCTTCATGTAGTGCTTCGTAGCTCTATGTAGCTTCATGTAGCTCTATGTAGCTTCATGTGGTGCTTCGTAGCTCTATGTAGCTTCATGTGGTGCTTCGTAGCTCTATGTAGTTCTATGTAGCTTCATGTGGTGCTTCGTAGCTCTATGTAGCTTCATGTAGCTCTATGTAGCTTCATGTAGCTCTATGTAGCTTCATGTAGTGCAGCTCATGTTCATGTAGCTGAACTGATGCTGTTGCTTACTTGCATTTAGTTTGTAACATTCACGATGTGGACGTGTTTCATAATAAAGTGGAGATGGTTCAGTCAAATATTCATCAAGGTTACGTTTTGTCACGTTGGAGGTCTTGTGTCTTTGTTTCGTTGTTTTCTACTAATTAGAACCTTTACTACGGTGGCTTATAGCAGAGGACGGAGCCTTCTGATTGGACAGAAGGACTCTTTTAACAGGATATGATCCCGGGCTCGAAAGCGTCACGCACTCCCGCCACACATCCAACTCCTCACGCCAAGGAATCGGACTCCGGTCACCGAGCCGTGTACCCCCCCCCCCCCTTATTTACTTATGGACGACAATGACAACAGTGCACGAGGAATAAAATAAAATATAATGCTATGCTAATGCTATTAATGAACATATAAATGCTGCAGTCTGTATGAGGTCTTTCTTTTGCCCCCCCAACCTTCATGTCTGTGAGGCCTATCTATGCATTCTTATCTCTTGTCCCTCTTCACTGAGTGAGCAGCGCCTCATTCTTTGTTCCTGTGTAGTTGCCATGGTGGTTTGACCCCAACACTTATTGGTTGACCCCTGGGATTAGTCCGAGCTACAAACAGCCCTGAAGCTCCTCTGCAGCATCTCAGAACTCTTCATTAAATCTGAGGCAGCGGGTCAGGAATGTGGCCCCGCCCCCTCCCTCCCTCCCCTAACTTCCCCCAAACGCTCAATAACAATTAACATTGATTGAAGCCTTCTGGGAGATATCGACCCAACGTGCACGGTCCGTGTCTCCATTGTCAATGTGTGTCTATTGTTACATACATAGTTTCAGTGAAGACATCATGTCTAATTTAACCCTTTCATCACGTGACGGATAAATATACTGTGACGTCATCAATCGCTTCAAATCAAATGTCAGAAGGCAGGTAGAAAAAGAGATTCATCAAAAAAAGACAGTAGGTCGAAGAACGACAGAGAACATCTGTCTGCAGATGCGAAGAGCAAAGCCCCCCCCGCCGCCCCCCCAATGGAAGCGCTTCCCATCCCGACCCGGTGGAACAGTGGACGCGCCGGAGAAGGGATCGATTACGACCCGATTAACCGATTAATGATAGATAGCAGCTATGACGTAAACACGGGACACGCCGGTGAGAACACGAACGTACCGTTTGTGCACAGGTAAAAAGGCGCACGAGAGGAGCTCACCTTGGTGAAAGTTATCCTAAAGTCCGCGGGAGTGCGCTCAAGCGGCTCGTCCCCACCCGCGTTGAATCCCCGGCGTGCGCGTGCAGGGGCCTCAATCCGTGCACGTCCTCTTCACGTCTGTGCAACGCGTCCGTCCCGCCCGACTCTCACTCACTGCGGGAGGCGCGCGCTCCAACCCGGGCTGAGGGAGGTGGGCGGGGCCGTGCGAAGCGCGCCCCCGAGGGGGGCTGCACCTGTGAACCACATTTAATCAAAAAAAGACGTTTTATTGTGAAAAGCTTGGAGATAGCAGTTTCCTTCTGATTTGAAAGTAAAGTAATCTCACTGCGTCCGTCTGGGTTTGATTATTAAAATGTCCAAAGCTTGCTTTGGTTTGAGTGAAGTTCAGGGACATCTGAGGAGTAGGAATGTGGAGCATTCAGGAGCGTGTGTATTAAGTTTAATCACCTGGAGAAAAGAAGCTTCTAAACTAAGATGTGATGTTGTATAAAATATAACATTTATATTCAAGGGTATAAAGTGAACTCCTGCTTCCACCGCTGTCGGCTCACCTGCTTCCATCCTGGATGGATGAAATCCTCATCGGTCCGCACTGCATGCTGGGATATGCTGCTGAGATAAATCAGACCTGTACGGAGTCAAATCCAGGTCAAAGGTTTTGATCATTTGACAAACAAAAAGAACCCTTAACGATTAAGATTTGGTCTTGAGCATTGAAAAATAAGTATTTTCGGGTTGAATAAAGTTTTTACTCACTTCTATCACTTTTTTCATTCTTCACTTCTATATTTTTAGATACTCCCTGTGAACCTTCAGGAGACTTAAGAATCAAGCCTTTCTATACACTACATGTAAAACCATTGCACCGGAGGCAAAGTTCTGTTTAGCGAGAACACTGAAGTTTCCCACTTCCGCAAACGCAGCATCCGCGCGATGGAGTTCGGCAGAGATTGAAGGAGATTCACAGACACGAACTGGAACACAGGCGCCGCCCCTCTGTAACCATGGTGACCGTGTCCCCGCGTCCTCGTCCCACCGGTCGGTTAATCGTGGTTGAATCTGCCCTCAGCCTTATTTGATAAGCTGTCACTCATGATTACGTTGATGCCCCGCCCCCCTACGAACCGAGTCAAAACTACATTCAACCCGAAGCACTTTTTGTCCACTTATTATGAATTATTCAACGTTCAAGACCAGCAAGCTGATGAATGAGTGGTACATTATCATAGCAGTCACTGGCTCCCCAGAGGATGAATCCTGGCGGTTTCGGTGACCTTTTAAGAGGAACTTTGTTGAACTGTTGTTTGTCGTAATACTTTTGAAAATTGGTTTATACTTTTATACATAAAAGCCGGACTGAAACCGGAAGACAAACTGCTTTCCAAATAAAAGCCCGAGAGCTCCGAGCCCCGCTGACTGTGACGTGGGCAGTTTCACCAGGAGGAAGAAGCCGTGAGAACGTTCCTCGGCCGGTGTCTCGGGTGGGATCTCTGAAAAGGTTTGAGGAAACCTGATTTGCAGGCTTGTCAACAGCAAAGTAAGATGGATCATTTTCAAACATTTCCTCTGACTGGGCTCGAGGACGGACCGGTTCCCCTGCAGGGGCTTCCATGGAGCCGCTGAAGCTGCAGCTTTTTATCACGTTGATGTGTGAAGGACACCAGCTGTGTGGACATGTTTGATCGGCATCAAATGTATATTAGTGACGGGACACGGTGGTAAAAAGTTTCATAGGAGAGTTTTGGTGCTTTATTGAGATCACTGAGGGAAAGAACATGGCAGACATTTAAAGATGGAATGAGCAGAAGAACCTTCCAACAAATCAATCAACCCTTTCCCATCTGAACCTCGTCCAGCCGACGTCATCCTCCATTAATGTTGCTTCAGATCCAGGCGACTGAGTCAGATAATTAGTCCAGCCATCTCAAAGCGACTGAAAGCTTCCATCAACAGCAACAGGAGGCATTCAGGGTCACCAGTTATCGCCAGCATTCCCTAAATCAAAGCACTGGCGAAGGACGGCGTCGTCCACCGACACTGGGAGGGAAGGTCGGCGCCGTGGGACGGAAAAGTCACTTCTAACGGAGTCGCATAAATCGCCCGCGGCTGCACGAATCCCATTCAAACGTAAAACATTCAACGCATTTTAACAAAAGCTCACAAATATCTTTAGATTCTACACAACAAATCTGAACTACATGTGATGGATCTCCTGCTGCTGAAGTGCAGCATGTGGAAACGGGAAGAAAACACCTCATTGGTTTCACGGCACCGTTTCTTGCCTTCAGGCTTCTCTTACTAAATGAGGAGGAAAGCCTTTTATCAAAGACGAGGAGAGGAAGACGAGCCGCCAACACGTGCATATTAACAACGAATGACGCAGTAATCCCACAAATAAAAACCAAAGAGGAAGAAGATGAGCGGATTGTAACTCCGTGACAGCCGACAAATCCTGCTCTTCCAGATAAAGTTGTCCTGGTAACCCACCAGAAAGGCTCAGCATTGAGCGTCTGGCTGTCTGCTCCTCTCCCAGTAGCTCACCATCTGTGGGACGCTTGTCGTTGTCACGGCGATGACCTTAGAAAGGCTGCAGCTGCTCAGAGGATGCTTGGGGTCCACGATAAACATGGTGTCCTCCGGAGGGTCGGTGGGGGAGATGCCCAGGCGCTTCAGGCACATCCCCAGGTAGGCGTCCTCGATGAAGATGGGTTTGATGTGAGGAGCGACGGCCAGGATCTTGGCGGGCAGGTCCAGGGACATGACGTAGGCCATGCCCAGGGGATACGGCGGGTACTCGGGCTCGGCCATCACCTTCTCCGGTATGTAGAACTTGTTGAATGGGTTTCTTAAAACCGGGCTGTGCCACCACACCAAACCAGTCATGTAGTTCTGTTTGGCCGTGCCGGGATTCAGCAGCAGTTTCACCGCGTTGGGGACGTGCAGCAACATATCGGCGTCGATCTTCACCACGTAGGAAGCCTCGGCGCAGTGCGCAGCCAGCCACTCCAGCATCGTCATGGTCTTGATGGTCAGGTTGCGGTAGGTGTCCTGGAAGTTACTCTGGATCAGGTCGCGGTGCTGCAGGTTCTCCTGTCGGAGCTTCTCCTGCTGCTGCTCGGCGTCAGCTCCCCCGGGTAGGCCCAGTACGAAGAGAGTCTCCACCAGCTGACCCAGAACCTGTTTCTCGCTTCCCCACGTCCTGCGGATGGAGTCCCGAGCCGCGACGTCAGCCGTTGCAACTTGAACCATGAGGAGCAGGAAAGGGGTCCTGGTGCGACACGTGGCCGTGTCGTCCATGATGAACCTGTAGTTCCGTGGGTAGGCCACATGATATGGTCCAGGATCTGGGGCTTCGGTTGGGCTGCTCCTGGGGTTCCACCCAAAGCAGAGATAGAAGATGAGTGTCACCGCTCCTAGGGCGCAGGTACAAATGTATTTCGTCCTGGTATCCATGGAAACTAGACAGAAGAGACTCACATTATGACATGAAAGCACCACGTTTAAAGATAAATCTGATAAAACAAAAATGTTAATTCGATTATTTCCTTCATACGAGTCCCGTAAGAAAGAAGCCAAGTATTAAAAGTACTGTGATTGTCCTGTAAACTATTTGATTTGAATGGAAACTAAGACCTGTCTGTCAAGCGTCTACAAATGAATCAAGCTTCTTTTATAAATCCTCGGGCACCTGAACAATGTCAGGAGTCAATATTGGTCACGTCTGAAAAGTTCTGATCGAGCGCCTGAGCCAATCGGTGCTGAGAAAACAAAGCCGGGTTAGAATGAGCTCCAGAGGACAGTTTGGGTCCCTGGAGCTAATGTCCATACGGGGACACGCAGCAGATGACAACCGTAGACGTACATACAGGCCTTTATGTACGTACGTCTATGATGACAACCAGTGTAACGCGTTACAAAGTAACACATTACTGTAATTCCACTACTTTTAGCGGTAACGAGCATGTAACAAAGTATTTCACAGAATAGTCGCGTACGTGCACGTAAACAGCGTCGCGTCGCTCATGAGGACGGAGCGCAGGATGCTGCAGGCGGCGCCACGCAAACAACCAGCGCTCCTCTTCACACGGACTGCAGAGCAGCCGATGGACCGGCAGAGCGGATCGCTCGCTGTGTTGGAGATGAGATGCATCCTGTCAACCAGTCAGTTGCCTCAAACTGTTATTCTGTATTAAGTGAAGTATTAAAAAGGGCTTTTGTACTATTGCTTGATTTGAAGGCCTGTTGATTACAATAAATAGGTCTAAAAAACGTGTTTATTGTGTTTGACTGTTCACTACTATTTATATTCATTACATTTAAAAAGCAGACATTAAAGTAAGTTACTTTCCAGAGTAACTAATTACTTTTGATACACAGTAACTGGCGAGTAATTCAGTTAGCTTTAAAAGAAGTAACTAGTAACTAACTAAACCCTCATTTTCAGTAACTCGCCGCGCTGGTGACGACACACCTGGTGCATCTGCTGGGTTTGGCGCCATCTAGCGGAGAGGACGCACGTTGCGCCTTAAATGAGGCGTCTCGAGGTGTCAGGTGTCTTGCTCGGGGACACTTTGGCACGGGACGTGGAGTGGGCGGGGCCAACCTTGCGGTTCGGGTTAGGAGCACCTGCTCTACTTCCTCCTCCCTGGACCTCGGTTTGTCCTCTCTGGGCTGCCGTAGGAACACGCCATATTCTCAGACGGTTCGACGCTAAAGACACGGGACGCGTTTAATGGTGTTTTCTCCCCTTACTCCCTAATGCGCCCCGTCCGGCTCCCGTCCGGCTCCCGTCCGGCTCCTCCGGGACGCAAACGCGGAAGCGGCCACGCAGCGCGGCAACGTCCCTCCTGAGATCCTCACCACAAAGTTCCCATCGTACGTGTACGTACCTGCCGTCCGCGCTCCAACACGAAGTGCCGCCGCGGCGTCCTGCTGACGGTGGACAGGTGGGTCTGTTCACGCCCGAAGCTCCGCCCACCCGCCGGCCGAGACGCGCTAGCTCCGCCCTCGCAGTCCGGCCAGGTGCACAGGTGGGTGGTTCGCAGGGGAAACTTCGTGCTCCAACACAACCGATGTTTGCAAATACAAGTTTTACTAAATGTTCATGTACATAAATATAATTCAGAGCTTTTAACTTTTCACGAGTCCAACCCGACATCCCGACCCGCACTCTCCGCTCTGCATGTGATCAACTGCTTGTTCCTCCTCACTGAGAGCAAAACACTCGACTAGATCTCCACACTCTGCTGTCCTGCTCCTAAATGGTGGAAGGAGGTCTGTGAAGACATCAGGACCACAGAGAGCCTTCACATCTTCAGACTAAAGACACACCTCTTCACACTCTACCTCCACTAACACACTAACTAACTGTAGCTCTTACATTGGACTTATGATGGTTCTTATCTACAGCAAGTTGTACATCGGCTTATTTGATGAAATCACACTTTTCTTGTTCTTCTTTTCTAGTTCTTCTCTCAATAGGAAAGGAGCTAAAGAGCCAGAGGAGGTGTGACGCTCGTGACCCGTCCAACCTGTTGTGTCTCGGATTCAAATAGTGAAACAGTTCTTTGTTTGTCGGCTTTCCAGCGTCTCCTCATCGTTCCTGTTCTGCTTCTATGAAAGTGTCGCAGTATAGAAATAGGATCGTCCTGCTATAGTTACCTGCGCCTGCCGACCACTAGGGCGGCGGTAGTATATAAAGGCTGCCCCCCTTCTCGCGCCCCACTGATGCATCATTTCCCGGTCAGGTGTCCATGCTCCTTTTTGCTCTTGGTTCCTCTCAACCGGCGGTAAGTGTTCTCCCTCTCCGTGTTCGACCCAACGATATTCTGTAGCTAACGTTATTGTGGTCACCGGTAGACGTCTTCCTGCCGTGTGGCTCTTTCTCTCCCTGTGCACGTTTGACCTGGGAAACAGGTACGTGACGTTAAAACTAGCTTCCAAAAACCTTTGACATGTAGCTTGGCAATGCTAACCCTATGTTCACTGACAGGGATCATCATCAGCTGGCCCAAAGCCACAGGAGGTGATTGATGTGACAGCACTCCGTTGATTGGGGCCTCTGGTGCTTAGTCTGCTGCTCCATGTAACCTCGTCTGTAACTGTCTGTAACTGTCTGTAACTGTCTGTATCTGTCTGTAACTGTCTGTAACTGTCTGTATCTGTCTGTAACTGTCTGTAACTGTCTGTATCTGTCTGTAACTGTCTGTAACTGTCTGTATCTGTCTGTATCTGTCTGTAACTGTCTGTAACTGTGTATCTGTCTGTAACTGTCTGTAACTGTCTGTATCTGTCTGTAACTGTCTGTATCTGTCTGTAACTGTCTGTAACTGTCTGTAACTGTCTGTATCTGTCTGTATCTGTGTGTAACTGTCTGTATCTGTCTGTATCTGTCTGTATCTGTCTGTAACTGTCTGTATCTGTCTGTAACTGTCTGTAACTGTCTGTATCTGTCTGTAACTGTCTGTATCTGTCTGTAACTGTCTGTAACTGTCTGTAACTGTCTGTATCTGTCTGTATCTGTCTGTATCTGTCTGCCCTGTTAAAAGCTGTCCGGTGCAGTTTGGTCTCCGGCGCGACGTACCCAGCAGGTCCATTGCCGGCACCAGACTTGGACCCGTGTAGTTGTTGATTCTAGCTTGACTGAGTAGTTAATCCTTTAGTTTGTATTTCTTTTGGTTTGTTTCACTTATTCTCTTTTTGTTTGCGTTACGTCAATTGTTTGATTAGGATGATTTTTATGTGAATTATTTTCTTTTTCTGTTTTGTGTTGTAAATTTTTGGTTTAATCCTCTTGTAACCTTCTTTTTTTTGTCATCCTTCCTAGCGGCTGTAGGCTGGTGGTGGTGTGGGTGGTGTGGGTGGTGGTGGTCTTCCTCGTGTGTCGTGTCCCATTGGATTGTTGTGCGATCACTGGGTGAAGTTTGGTTTTCTCTAAGTTTGTTCTATTTTCCTTCCCCTTCACCGGCGCTTCTCACCATTAGGCCTTAGCGATTAGTTTTCTTTTCTTATTTTGTGATGAATGTTAGATTTTACGGTAATGTATATTTATTGAATAAAATGTTTTTTTGTAAACTGGGAACCACGAGCCGTTGCCTGTTGAGTGGACGAACCCGTGTGCTTTAGAAGGTCTTGGGCCTGTCCCAAGTGGCGTCGCCGGCAGGACAGGAAACCATTTCGCCACAAAAGTTACTTCTGATGTTCTGAGAGTTTCAGTCCAGCAAATGGGCAGCTGTCCGTTTGAAGAAGAAGATTCAGTTTTTAACCGTCCCACAGTGTCCTGCTGGAAAGGCGTCTTGCTCAGCGACCTAGAAAATGTTGCAAATTGTTTTAAAAGTTACATTTTCTTCGTCTATTGGTAGACGTTCACGTTTAGACCCGTTTTCAGCGTGATTCACAATATCCGCCTCACCAAACTCCCACAACTACAATAAACTGTCCAGTTTGCGGACGCAGTTTCTTTTCAAACCTTTAAAATAAAAGATAGAGGACAAAATATTACCGTATTAAAAATCACGTTGAAATGTGGTTTAAACGTCAACATCAGCAAGACACTACAAAATAAAACCAGACATGAACGTGACAACTCTGGCCTCAATAGAAGAGTGGCACGAATAAAGCTGCTATTGAAAGAACCATAATAAATCCTGTCCTGGACTTTAACACAAGCCGCGTGGGAGACACATCTGGAAGAAGGTGCTCCGTCCACTTTTTGGCATCAATGCCAACGATCACGCTGAGCACAGCATCCCAACAGGGAAACATGGCGTCATTTCATGTTCTGTATTTGACCGATTTACAAGAAGATGAAAGAGATCCACATAAGAAGAGCGGACGATGTCTTCTTGCAACAGCAATCAGGCAACACAATTGTGGCAAGTTATTGGGAACATCTGTGCAGCAGCACGCCAACATCTGTAAAGCAGGTTCCATCTCTGCAGCTTCCTGAGCGCTTTGCCTGAGTCCTCTTAACTGAGGAAACGCGTCCTTCAAACAAGAATTGAATGTTTTGCAATGGTTTTCTCTTGTAAATAAAATGTGCAATCGAGAAGCTGCCCTAAAATCTGCCTTTGAAGTGGAACCTAAATGAACGCAATCAGTGGAAACTTTTTAGCCGGTTGGAATGAGGTCTTTGCCGTTCAGACCCAATTCCAACGTTGAATGACGTCATGTGCTCACTGGGTTAAACGAGTTGAATGGGCGTGGCGTAAGAGCCACTGGGGGTCACGTGATATCTCTTTTATTTGTTTCCTCCTCGCGCATCGGACCCTCGCGTGTTTCGCAGAGCGACCCTCGACCCGGAGGCGCAACGTTAACGGCTGACCGTCAGTGAAGCACCATGGACGGCAGGAGCTACGGTTCAGGTAACTGAGCACCTTAGCCGGTGGCCGTGTGCCGTCACCGCGGACACCTTTGTGGATTAGCTCTCCTGTTAGCCGCGCGCTTTGTTACCGTGAAACCGCACCGCTAGCTCGCTAATAGCAGCAGCCAACTCCTGCTGGATGTGACCGTTAGCTTAGCGTGGGACAAAGACGCGTTAGCTAACGTTTATATATCAACACATATGCAGCTGTTGATTCATTAACTAACGTTATATATTATATTATTTTCTGATCGAACGTCGTATCCGACCGGTTAGCTAACATTAGCGCAATGTAGCCGTGCTAGCCGCTAGCTAGCCGCTTGTTCGCTAACGTGTAGGGTGGAGGTGCGGCCCATTGTTGTGGCGTGTTTACGGCGATGCTGATGTGAGCTGGCTAATTCTGTTAAATGTGGCTTGTGAGTGCGTTAAATCCTTCATTTAATGACAGGTAACAAACGGGAGGCTCCATAGCGGAATGACCTCTTCTATTGAGCCACAACGAGCTGCTTAAACCGCGATATTCCGCCGATTACTCCAGAGGTTGGAAACAGAACCCAAAATAGGTGTTTGGGGGGAAATTGGTAGTCATGGAAAATACATTTTATTGCTTCGAATAAGCAAATAAAGAATAACTGTTTAGCTATAAGTTGCACGGGAAATCAAGGCAATACAAATCGTCTATAAAGTACATTTAAAACCGTAATCAAAAGGACACTATTCTTACACGTTTTTGCCTTTTTGAACAGGACACAACTCTTAAATGTGTACAGCTCTGCCTCATTGCTGATTTGGATATTGATCATCAGCACAGAGGAAGTCTCATGTGTTCTGTAAAGCTTTAAAAGATCAAATAAAATAAAATGCATTAAAGCGGTTTGATGGCGTGTGTGTTTCTTGCAGGTTACTCCAGCTGGGGAGGCGGCAGCTCAGGAAGCAGAAGTGAGGAATGAGTGAATATGCTAAACCACACAATGTTATGTTCCTGATACACGTATATATGTTTTTCTTTAACCGTTCCTTCTCTTGTTGCTTATCTAACTTCTGTAACCACCTCTCCCCGTTAATCCCCATAACAACACATCGGTCTCATTAATAAATCTGAACCCTGTCAGGCTCCGGTGGCTTCGACCTCTACGGGGGGGGCTACAAAGACTCCGTGTCCGGCCTCGGGGGCTACGGGGGAGGAGGAGGAGGAGGCCACATGAAGAGGGGTCTCTCCGGCGCGTCGCTGCTCTCGTCCACCGGCACAAACGCAGATGCCGTCATCGCCAAGATTAACCAGCGGCTGGACATGCTGACTCAGCTGGAGGGCGGGCTGAAGGGGACTCGGGGCGACCGGTAATATCCGCCCCCGCATGCACACGCTCTCCCCGATGTTTGATAGCACAGCGTATTAACCCGCGAGAGCTTGCCGCCATTTAGTTCGTAGTATGTTGGTCTCGCACGTTCCATTACCGCTCAGCTCAATGAGGAGGCTCGCCGTATCCATGGCGATGAAGCTCACGCGGTGGCTGCCGACGGTCCCGTCCAGGAGAACCGAGGACTCGAACGCGTTGAGCTTTCAAATTCTTCTCATTTCATTTTGTCTGGTATGAAAAGCGTTTTGAGAAGCTTTTCTTCTACGACTCCTGCCGGTTAATGCGGTCAACGACCGGTCAGAACCTAAACTAGTACCCCGGTGCGTCCTGTGGTTGGTTGGGACCAGTGTCTCTAAGATTCTACACTTTGGTGACAGAAGCCCACTTCCTGTTTGAGAGCGACTCGTGCAGAAGCCTTGAGTCCTCCAGTGGGCGCGTTGCTTCGAGGAGCTCGGGCGGTGACGGTGCATGAAGTGCAGTAACGTTTTGTAACCGATGACATCGTTGCACGTGAAGCCAGTCCATCTCTTCTTGTTTCGCTCATCCTCCATGTGACCCGACCCTTTGCTCTGGCTTTAGTTTACCCCGGAGAGGCGAGTTCCCCCCCTCCTTGCTCTCTGCTCGTCTCCATCAACCCTCTCCCTCCCTCCCCGCAGGTATGACCACTACGAGTCATTCGACTCGCGGGCCTCCGCTCTCCCCTCCTCACGAGATCTCTACAGATCTGGCGGCGGTAGCTATGGTTACGGCGGTGATGGCCGCGAGGACAACATGCTGCTGGGTCAGCGAGGAGGCTCTGGCTTCGGCGGGGGAATTGGGCTGGGCGGGGGGGGGGGGGAGGAAGAAGGCTTCGACAAGCCCTTCCTCTTCCTACGGAGTCGGTTAGGTCCGACCAGAATTATGAGGGAGTCTTTCAACAGTGGCCCGGGTGGAGGCTCTGCAGGTGGAGGATGCTCCGCCGAAGGCCGGCGGTCGCCCCGACGGTGGTGTGAGTGCCGTGGGTCGAGGAGCTGGTGGTGGAGGGTTTGGAAGCCGCAGGTCCGAACCCCCTCCTCTAGGCGGAGGTGGGCAGGGGGGCGGCGTGCAGCGCGGCCGCCCCCCCGGAGGTGGTAGAGGAAAGCTCCCATCCCTCCTGTCCAACCGCATGTACCCTGAGAGCGGGGGCTTCCACCAGGGCTCCACTCGAGGGCCCCACGACTTCCCCGGGAGGCACTTTGGAGGGGGCCCGAGGGCCGGCCGCCAGCGGGGCCGCAAGAGACCCCTCAACAAAGTAAGTACCTCCAGCCCCGAGCAGCCTGGGGGCAGATGTTTAGCCCCCTCTGAACCCTCTGCCAAAGTCCAATAGTCACACCAGACTCCCCTTTGTACAGTAAGAAAAGGGACAACCCCCCCGCCCAGAGGCGTCCAATGACGTCCCCTTGTGTGTTTGATTTATTGATTTCCGTCCTCAGGACGAGCATCGTGCATGAATAACGGGCTTTGACTAGAACCACATTAGTCCCGCTGGCTACGTGACTGTAGTTCGGGTTCTGCGTGTGGGGGGGGGGGGGGGGCTCTGCCTGTGGGGAGGAACTGACTGTGTGGACGGTAGCAGGTGAAGCCACAGCAGGATGTCCAGAAGAAGAGGAAGCAGTCGCTCACGGAGGCTGACGAGCCGGAGTCCAAGATGAACCGACCCGACGAGGCCGAAGCTCCTCAGGGTATTTAACGTGTATTTTACACCCCGTTTTTGTTTTTTAAACACAAAACTACACACGTTTGTGTGTAGTTTATTTTTGTTGGCGGCAGGAACACGTTGACACGTCTCTTCCTGTCGTCCTCAACTCTCCATCATTTAACGTGCAACAGTCTGCCCCAGTTAGCAGGACGTCTTCTATCCTCGGCCCTTTAGGGACACGCTGTCCTCTGCACGCGCTAACGTTAGATGTTGAGATGGAAGTAGCCTGGCAGCTAGCTTAGCATAGCAGTGCTTTAAACAAACTAGGTTAATATTTTGATTCTATAGACAGCTCTAATATCCACACACACACGTATGTGTTACGCCTGATGTCCATGTGCTTTGTGTTCAATAGAGCCAGCAGAGGACAACGGGGACGACAGTGAACCAAAGACAGTGAGTCAAATCTGACATTTTTATTCACTTTTGTTTGTATTTAAACACTTTACGTTTTCAAAAATAAACCGCCATAAACAAACGTTTTCTTTTCAAAGAGTTGATTAATTCATCTGAAGGAGGAAGAGACATTAAACTGCCTTTTTCATCCAGTCTTTCACAGTTGTGATGACATTTTGGGACCATTTATTATTTTATTCTCTTTGCGGTTAAAGTCCTTATTTCTTCACTGTAATTAACTTAATATATAATAATAAACCACATAAAGTAGTTTCCAGTAAAGGGAAATGAAATGTGTCGTCTTGTCTTTCAGGAGACGGATCCTGCTGCAGACAAAGGTGAGATCAGCTGATCCTCGTGGCTCCTTCTCTCCTCCTGCGGCTCGGTGACCTCCGCTCTCGTCCTCTCCTCCTGCGGCTCGTGACCTCCGCTCTCGTCCTCTCCTCCTGCGGCTCGTGACCTCCGCTCTCGTCCTCTCCTCCTGCGGCTCGTGACCTCCGCTCTCGTCCTCCTGCGGCTCGTGACCTCCGCTCTCGTCCTCTCCTCCTGCGGCTCGTGACCTCCGCTCTCGTCCTCTCCTCCTGCGGCTCGTGACCTCCGCTCTCGTCCTCTCCTCCTGCGGCTCGTGACCTCCGCTCTCGTCCTCTCCTCCTGCGGCTCGTGACCTCCGCTCTCGTCCTCTCCTCCTGCGGCTCGTGACCTCCGCTCTCGTCCTCCTGCGGCTCGTGACCTCCGCTCTCGTCCTCCTGCGGCTCGTGACCTCCGCTCTCGTCCTCCTGCGGCTCGTGACCTCCGCTCTCGTCCTCTCCTCCTGCGGCTCGTGACCTCCGCTCTCCTTCTCTCCTCCCAGACTCGCCCAAACAGGAGCAGAAGACGAGTGTTCTGCCCCAAACACAGGACAAGCACCCCAAGATGAGGAAGAGGCGGGGCTTCCTGGAGAGGTGACGTTTTTACAGAGGTTATACCCAGTGCCAATCCAAAGTATAATACGGGATGAATATATATGGATTATATATAATTCTATAAATAGTTACACTATATAATATGTAGGGCTGTCAATTGATAAAAACATGTACTAATTAATCTCCCCACATTTAGCCAGGACGTTTTCACATGACTGTCTTTTAGGGACAGAGTGGTGGTCCTCTGCAGGTAGATGTTGAGATGGAAGTAGCCTAGCAGCTAGCTTAGCAGTTCTAATGTGTCTGAATGTCTTTCAGGGTGATGTTCGCCTGCTCCGTCTGTAAGTTCCGCTCCTTCTACAAGGAGGAGATGGAGACTCACCTGGACAGTCGCTTCCACAAGGACCACTTCAAGTTCCTGTGCGGCCAGCTGTCCAAGCCCACCACGGACTTCCTGCAGGTGACTGAGCTTCATCCAGCATCTCCCCCGCCGGCCCATTTAATGCCTCCACGGCGTCCTGGGACGGACCGTGTGTCATTGTGCGCCCAGAATAAAAATAACCATTGGGTCTTTTTTCGGGGGGCGGGGCTTCATCCCCCATAATAGCAGGGAAACAGTTTATTTTCAGCTTTGTTTGTAAAAGCATTAAAATGTTGGTTTGTTTAAAGGCCGCCGAAGGATTAAAACCCATAAACCTAAACGGGGGAAGATGGGAGAGAACCAGGAAAGAGGGATGAAATAGTCGTGAGAGAGAATAAAACTCTGTTTGTTCTTTCAGGAGTATCTGCAGAACAAGTTCAAGAAGACGGACTACAGAGTCGGGCAGCTGGAGAACCACAGCGCTGCGATCTGCCAGGTGTACAGGGAGCAGGACCTCACCAGAGGTGCGTGTGTGTGTCTGCGTGTCTGTGCGTGTGTGTGTGCGCGCACAGGTATTAACGCGTGCGTCTCCTCCGCCCAGAGCTCGGCATGGAGCACTTCATGAGGAAGGTGGAGGCTGCCCACTGCGCAGCCTGCGACCTCTTCATCCCCATGCAGCCCCACCTGATCCAGAAACACATCAAGTCTCCGGACCACAACTACAACCGGAAGGTAACCGGGAGCCGTTGCCACGGTTACGTTCGACACATTCTTCTTGAGTGCCGCTACGAGTTTGACCTCTGAACCCCAAAGAAGCTTTCTGTCTTAATCTAGAACTTAAAGGTCTGCTGTTTAAAAAGAAGTGAAACCAGTTTGCTTTTGTGTCACATGATGAATTCAGACATACTGTCTCCTCGTGGTTGAAATGCACGTATCGTAAGTCGCTGTGGGTAAAGGACGTGTGATGTACAACCTCAAACACCAAAGGGAAAAAAGCCTAAAGCGCTGTAGGTTAACGACTGATGTTCCGTGTCGAAGGGGATGATGGAGCAGTCGAAGAGAGCCAGTCTGTCCGTGGCTCGCAGCATCCTCAACCACAAGCTCATCGGCAAGAAGCTGGAGAGCTACCTCAAGGTGCGTTCACGGTGCCCGTGCCCCAGAGGCCCCCGCGGTGCGTTCACTGTCCCCGTCTCGACTGATCACATTCTTTTGCCTCCAGAGAGAGAACCCGTTCACCGGTAACCATGACGACCAGGATGCAGAGGACTCCATGGTGATGGACGTGTCTGAGCTGGAGTTGACCAGTGAGGCAGCAGACGAGCAGGCGGAGGAGCCGCTGGTTGAAGAGGTGTCGGCCCGAGATGATGATGATGACGATGATGAAGCAGCAGCAGAGAGGACGATGACGGCAGTAGAGGAGGAGAAGATGGAGGAGGGAGAGGGAGAGCAGAGGAACGAGGAGGAAGGCTTTGAGGTCGGAGAGGAGGACGAAGGATACGTAGTGCACGATGAGATCGGTGAGGAAGGATTACAGGAGGAGGAGGAGGAGGAAGAGGAGGAAGGAGTCGAGGTAGCAGAGGGAGAGGAGGAGGAGCAGCAGCAGGAGGAGGAGGAGCAGCAGCAGCAGCAGGAGGAGGAGGAGGAAAAGAAGGATGAATGACTTTAACAGCGCCAATGTAAATTCTGTCTGGACCAGGACCCCCAGTTGATCACCATCAACAAACAGTCCAGACATCTGCTCTCTGATCTCGCCTCCTTTTGTATTTCTTCTTGAAGGACTTAGACCCACATTTTAGTGAACTACTCCATTTATTGTTAAGCATAAAGCGTGTAAATAAAGTCCTCAAATAGTCCGTGACATCTTCACATGGTAGTCAGGAGGAGCGTCAGCAGCTGCTCCTCTTCAGTCCCTCTGAGTTGTTGACGTGGTTTGTGGGATCTGAACCATGAGTTTGAGAATCTACTGCATTCACAGCAAGTCAAACCTATACCTTTTTTTTTTTTTTTTTTTTTTTGTGCCTTTTTGTTAAGTATTTTTATTTGTCTTCGTAGAGCTGAGCGATTTGTACCGTAGAAGCGTCTCAGATGAGTGACGTCACCGTCTGTAGGATGAGAATGAATCATTGTTTCACTCTGAGAAATAAACCTGTTCAGCAAATCCGAGTCCATGTTTCCCGTTGGTTGAGAACCAGGCGGTTCTGAGTACCTCTGGTAGCGGTACTATGAAGGTACCGCAGTACTTGTCAGAGTTCAAAGGACGACAGGTTATCAAATGTGATTCTAAACATGAACACGCACATGCAGCCCAACACGAGTAGCTTCGCTGCTCTGTGATGTTACTGTGATACTTTTCACTAAACCTTGGAGTGAGATGCAGTCGGTGAAGTTACGCTACGTGCAGCGAATAGCGTTACAGATGTTGTGCAGACGCGCCGTTCACCGTCGGCGAGGTTGGAGATGAACCAGCGCGGATTCTTATATTCTAATAACCTACAACTTCACTCACATGAGGTCAGAATGCACACAATGGTACCAAATAATACACTTGATGCGATACGCTGCATGCTGGTGGATCTGGACCTAATTATCATATTTAGTTAAAGAAAAATATGAATTAATAAATGTAAATATCAAACTCTATATGCAAGTAAAGGAAGCATCGTTTATCCCACAGACAGCCGGGTAAAGAGAACCTTACAGATGTTGTATTTATTACTATCATAGTATATTTGTGGTATAAGTATCTAGTACTGTAATATTCTGGCAGGCTTCGTATCAAAGTGATCACTTTGGTATCGTGACAACCGCAGTACCAAATGATTTTGGTGTGTTGTGTACGTTATGACGTCCACCAGAGACGGTCACAATCAACGCGTCGTCCAACTAGAAACCTTCAAAATCGATTCATTTTTTTACATTACATTACATGTCATTTAGCTGACGCTTTTATCCAAAGCGACGTACAATGAGTGCATTCAACCATAGGGTACAAACTCAGGAGAACAAGAAACAAGAAAGTGCAATTCCTC